AACCATATCCATTCACTCAATCAGTCACTCACTGACTGTCTCCAAGGATAATAACATACATTATAAATACTGACATTTCTTTATGTTTATGTACAGTGTTCATACAATCTGTGCGCAGTCCATCCATGAATACAATTCTTCAGATTTGAAGGTTTAAGGAATACTGTGTATTGTTCAGTCACTCATTTACCATTACCTTGTCATTCACTCATACAGCTCTGCACTATTCCTGTTTCAGAATCATCACCATCTTGACTCCTGCATATGTGGAGAGTCAGGAATGTCTGGAACAGTTCAACATAGCTCTGTGTGTGAACCGGCTTTCTGCAAAGCACCAGATCTGTCCCATGTATGTGGAGACTGTCAGCTCCATACCTTCCTACATGCAGCTGGTCCAGTACATAGAGTGCAGGTCTGTACACCTGCTTATAATCAGTACAAGTTTCAACATGTACACCTTCTTAGACATCAGTATATCTTGTTTCATGTTACCAAATAGTAGTAGACCAAGCTAAATGTCAGTACACTTTGCTGATGTCAGAAGGCCACGCTAAATGTCAGTACACTTTGCTGATGTCAGAAGGCCAAGCTAAATGTTAGTACACCTTGCTGAATGTCTGTATGCCTTTCTGAATTTCCGCACAACTTCGTAGTAATCTTGGTACATTTTTCTGGATGTAAATACACCTTGCTGGATTTTGGTACACCTTGTTGAATATCATTACATGTTGATAAATATCATCACACCTTGACAGATATGAGTACACCTTACTTTTTAAAATGTCAGTGCACCATTCTGTGTTGCACACCTATGGCTTACACTTGGAGTTAATGTAGGATGGTAGCCTCCTATATCCTCTTGTATTAACAGGAAGTACATGTGTTACAATGTTACTATGAAAATGTCACATGGAATTACAGTTGATGAGCAGTGTCTTCTATTGCAGACAACGGAAGGAAGGAGAGGTAACTAAGACACTGATCAAGCAGGCATGCATTACAATTTTGAGTTCATTTCCTGAGTCTGATCAGACCAAAGATAACTCCAAACCAGAACCTCCGTCCAGGACGACATACGATGTGTTCATATCCTACTCCCATCGAGACCCCACCCCTGCCCAGACTCTACTACAGTGCCTTCAGGAACAGGACTCCACACTCAGTGTCTTCTTCGACAGGAGTGAACTCAAGACTGGTAAGGTTGACTATCTACCTACACAGTTTCTGTCACAACAGGTCAGTAGATCTGCTGAGATCAAACACTTTTTGAAGTTCCTGTTATTTGAAAAAGAGAATATATCAACACTGTGGAGAAACTGGCCCAGAAATGGTCCCCCATTTCTTATGTTTCTCATAGTATTAACTAAATGAGGGATGGTGGTCTGATTCTATGTTGGTCTGATCGCTGGTCAATGTGCCCTGACATTGTTTGTCATTTCTTGTGCATGTGGTACTGGACTAATGCTGACTACACTATGAAACAGTTGTCATGATTGTCACTCAACCCACATTTAAATTAGAGACTTTCAATTCATTGCAGGAAAGCTCTGGCAGCAGACTCTGTATGATGCCATGGACAATGCCTGCTGCGTGGTGGCTCTGCTGTCCATGAGCTACATGACATCTGATGTGTGTCAGGAGGAATACAACATTGCCCTCGCTAGGGCTTTAGCTACAGTAAGAATTTGACAAACAGAAATTTATGTACTCAGAGTGTGTCAACAACACCCATGCTTGTAAGAGTCAATCAAAATGAGGATTGGTTTTGGATCTGCAGTAATTTGTGTCATAGAGACCCAAAAGTTGTGATACATACGCTTATCCTTGAATTCAGTAGTTGGAAAAACAATGCATTAAAGATTTAGTAAAGACACTTTGCTCCTGTATTAACTAATAGCAATGAGCAATATGTTTCGATGGAGGCAAAGGGGCTCGGTTAGGATGAGTACATTTTTGACTGTTGTTTGGAACATAAGGACAGAGGTTTCCACTCAACTTTCGGAGGAAAAGGGAGATAAGCAATAAGTATGAGTCAGGATAGGCATAAAATATTAATTTTATCATAAAAATTACATTATCTGACAACAGGATTATCCTACAATTGGACAAAAGATGTGGGTATACTTTTATCTTGGTATTTCTGAACTTTAATTAACCCTTGATGAGGCAGAAGATGACATCGTGTCCAAAACTATTGGAATCCCTCAAGTGTTAGTATCCTTTAGGAATAAAGTCTGATATTTTGCTGACATTTCAGTCAAACCATTCAGAATACAATATAATACGGTCCCTTCACCAATGGTGATACATATTAGAATGTTGTACAAGGTAGGTTCCATAATAAAGTTACCTAATGATTCATGTGTGCTGTGTGATCCTTTCAGGAAGATGTCTCTCTAATTCCTGTTTCGGTAGAACCTTTGAAGGCCATCCCTCAGACCTTCAGTTATGTGACTATACTAAATGGATCGATAGCCAATCAGAAGGATGCCCTTAAGCAGATCTCGAGTGAAGTTATTGATTTGGTCAGAAATGGACAGAAGGGACGAAATATTGTCAAGGTAATGTTTACCTGGAAAGATTTAGTTAAGAGCCTGATTGAGGAAGGGGTTAAGTCAGTCTACACCATATCCCTGAATCAGTTGTCTTGATGTTGTAGCCAACTGTTTCATTCAAACCAGTTGTCTTTATGTTTCAGACAACTGTCTCAGTTATACCAGTTGTCTTGATTTTTCAGCCAACTCTCGAGCTTAGTTACAACAGGTGTCTTGAAGTTTCAGCCAACTCTCTTAGTTACAACAGGTGTCTTGATGTTTCCGCCAACTGTCACAGTTATACCGGTTGTCTTGATGTTGCAACCAACTCTCGGGCTTAGTTACAACAGGTGTCTTGATGTTTCCGCCAACTGTCACAGTTATACCGGTTGTCTTGATGTTGCAACCAACTCTCGAGGCTTAGTTACAACAGGTGTCTTGATGTTTCCGCCAACTGTCAGTTATACCGGTTGTCTTGATGTTGCAACCAACTCTCGGGCTTAGTTACAACAGGTGTCTTGATGTTTCCGCCAACTGTCAGTTATACCGGTTGTCTTGATGTTGCAACCAACTCTCGGGCTTAGTTACAACAGGTGTCTTGATGTTTCCGCCAACTTGATGTCCAGTTATACCGGTTGTCTTGATGTTGCAACCAACTCTCGGGCTTAGTTACAACAGGTGTCTTGATGTTTCCGCCAACTGTCACAGTTATCGGTTGTCTTGATGTTGCAACCAACTCGGGCTTAGTTACAACAGGTGTCTTGATGTTTCCGCCAACTGTCACAGTTATACCGGGTTGTCTTGATGTTGCAACCAACTCGGGCTTAGTTACAACAGGTGTCTTGATGTTTCCGCCAACTGTCACAGTTATACCGGTTGTCTTGATGTTGCAACCAACTCGGGCTTAGTTACAACAGGTGCTTGATGTTTACAACAGGTGTCTTGATGTTTCCGCCTTGAACTGTCACAGTTATACCGGTTGTCTTGATGTTGCAACCAACTCTCGGGCTTAGTTACAACAGGTGTCTTGATGTTTCCGCCAACTGTCACAGTTATACCGGTTGTCTTGATGTTGCAACCAACTCTCGGGCTTAGTTACAACAGGTGTCTTGATGTTTCCGCCAACTGTCAGTTATACCGGTTGTCTTGATGTTGCAACCAACTCTCGGGCTTAGTTACAACAGGTGTCTTGATGTTTCCGCCAACTGTCACAGTTATACCGGTTGTCTTGATGTTGCAACCAACTCTCGGGCTTAGTTACAACAGGTGTCTTGATGTTTCCGCCAACTGTCACAGTTATACCGGTTGTCTTGATGTTGCAACCAACTCTCGGGCTTAGTTACAACAGGTGTCTTGATGTTTCCGCCAACTGTCACAGTTATACCGGTTGTCTTGATGTTGCAACCAACTCTCGGGCTTAGTTACAACAGGTGTCTTGATGTTTCCGCCAACTGTCACAGTTATACCGGTTGTCTTGATGTTGCAACCAACTCTCTTTTTTACAACAGTTGTCTTGATTTTTCAGCCAACTCTCTCAGTCACACCCAGAAAGTTCAAGAGCTCTACCGTAAACAAGAATTTGATAAACTGTACAAAGTAGATGGAAAAGAAATCCTTTATAAGGACCCAAACCAACAGTCAACTAATGAGAAACCATTGGACAGAGGTGACCAGCAGATTGTGTTCAGCTTCTCTCATGATTCTCTCCGTCTTGCTATAATTCTGTCTGAGTTGATAAAGCAGGCATCACCAGGCACAAACTGCTCCTTCATCAGTGAGAATAACAAAGATAGACTTCATTTGTTGGACCAGTCCCAACTTGTGGTCATCATAGTGTCTGATGGTTATGTCCAGTCAGCTCAGCTCCTTGAGGAACTTCATCTAAGTCTGTGTAGACAGCGGAGAGAAAAGCCCACGAGGATGATGTACCTGATTGAAGGGTCACACCTCAGTGCCCAACCCCACTATCTCCATCTCCTGGACTACAAAGTCAGCATCAATGACAAACTGTGGAGTGCACCGAAAACCACGAAAACAGCATCTGATGAGTATGTCATTGCGACAAGAGGTGGAATGAAGGGCTCTTACTCCTGCACTCTATTAACTGAAAATGAAAACAAGTCCACAGGACTAGTAAGTATTTTTTTCTGCATAGTAAAAGGTTACTTGTTAGAAGATGTTCAAAGTTTACAGGGTGATTTTACAGGGGTACTTGGGATCACAATAGATACTTTATAGCATTTGTCCCATATATTACAGGCTAGTAGAATTTGAATGTTATTAGCCTAATGTGATTTCTACTGGCCTCATACCTTTGGGTGAGCATTAATTTCCTTTCCTGCTTGGCTATGCAGGGTATTACATCTCCATTCTCTCATGATATATACCCTTTCACTGACATGGCTTACAGTGGAGTTATGATGCCACTAATTTTTTGCTGTTCTATGTCACTCCATTTCAGGTCTTGTTACACACACACAATGAGTATCTTAAACATCCTCAACATTGGCAGCCTCACCACAGGCGGTGCTGGAGACACTGTGCAGATTGAACAGGTACATCTGCCATTAGATACTAGATAGTTAATCAACATGCTGCTTTTATATTAAAAATGGTATGTTTTGATCCTTGTTGGCTTTTGTTCTTTAATAACACCTTTTTGACCTACTATAGTTGATCATTGGTTTGAAGCCATCTTAAACTCTTCAACATGTCTGTCACTGTAATTTCTACCCACCACTTCCACAGTTATCCATGGCTTAAGGTTTAGGTTCATGTACAAGGAGTCTCTACATCTACATGCTCTTTATATGTATGGGTTTGTTAGGAGTTTAGTCCTGAATTGTTAGAGTTTGACCATTTTATGATATTCTCAAGTTGTAGTATTATCATGATCATATGATGTACATAAATACCCAATTATTAATAATAATAATTCCCAACTTGTGATGGGAAGGTTGCACATTTTGAGGAGCTAGATTAGGAAATATCACAAAGTGGTATCTGTTTATCAAAACTATATAGTCAGACATGCTACTCACGATGACTAATTGTCACTAAATATTTTGGAGAGTATGCACTTTCTCCTGCTCTTATGACCATGGAATGGAAATGACCAGGAACAAACTTTTCAGCCTCTTTAAACACCATGGTCGATCATGGGACTTCCAGCTATCTTCATTCGCATTCATATTGCCTGTGAGTGAAGATGTCATGCCTTTCAGAGAAGAATTTTCTTCAGAGGCCAAGGTTATAACCTGTTTTGCATATCTCAGAAGAATACAGATATCTGTGGGCAAAGATGACATGGCTAATATAAATAGAATGGTGTGTGGAAGATGTAAATGGTTCCTTCTGACCTTCATTTTGTTTGTTGTCTGTATTTTGTTCCTGAGATGAGAGTTGCTCCACTTGTAATCAACTCAATGATGAAGATTTACAATGTTTTAGATTTGGGACCGTTCTCATTTAAGGAGCCTAAGAGGTCCATGCAGAAAGCACACTGTTACTTTAGTTTGCCCACCCACGCTGATGATGATTTTCCTGAATCATTCTCTGCTGTGTACCTTAGACGGAATTTGTGACATCTTTTAAACCTTGTGTCATGACTTTTGATCCTTTGACATCAGTCCCTTTTGTTCTTTCCAGAAGAGTGGTTATTTGGAAATTGTTGATTCCCTTCTTACTTACCATGGCTCTTCTAATCTGGAAAACACTTCCAGTTCTGTTGTATTCAGGTTCCTGTGTTCGATTCTATGATTCTGCCTGTATAATCGATCAATACACTTTGAGGTGATGATTCCTCCATGTTCAGTGTGCTCTATCGGCGATTCCTCTATCTTCTGCAATTCTGTCCTCTTTGTTGTTTTCTAATCCCCCACCATCCCTGGTGTTTTCTACGTTATCGATGATGACTTTGTCTTCTGCTCATGCATTGTTTCCTGTTGCTTTGTCAATAATCCTGCCTCCAGCGGTATCTACTGCGCTTGCCTTTAGTCCATCTGCTGTACCTACTACCTAGTTGTCATCTGTGGGATCAGCTGCCATGTCATCCTTGCCTTCATTACCCCCAGCCTAAGGATCATCAATCTCTCCTGGATCGACTTAGCTTATCCCTCTCCAAATCTGTGCCGAGAAAGATGCTTGGTTTCCAACATGATACATATGTGGCAGACCATTGCCTGTTACATGGGTACATGGGATGACCAGTCTTAGTACCTTCAAGGAGCTATGTAAACTTAAAGGTCACATACAACATAAAACACAACTTTGCAGATTCTGATACCTTTTGGTATAGACTTACAGGAACAAATGATCAAAAATGCAAATTCAACTTATAAAGTTGAAAAATAAAGCGATGAAAAAATCCCTGCAAATCGGAGTTCAAACGATTCACTAAATTCACCCCAGCTTGGGTGAAAAGTGGTTTCAACAGCTGTGCTGCACTGCACTGCACTGCGCTCATTGCGCATGCGCAGTGAAAATGTGTCTGCCTACCTGTCTACTAACGACAATATGCAAAACATAACTTCGATCACTGACCACATGCAATTTGAACTTAACACCTATCAGGCTGTACACCATAAACAAAACACATTGATTTATGGCTCGTGCACCTGAGTTCTGTCTCTGTCACATTATGTAATTACACAGACAGGCAGGTGTGATACTTGTACACATGACATGTTATGGTCTCTGTTGATTGCAAAATGTTATACACAAATATGAGCATGTATTTACAAAAAACAACATCTCTATACACACACTGAGTGTATCGGCAATGAACCAACAATGAAAGACTTCGTTACACTTGAGTGCACGTCCACCCGCTCTGACTGGGTTTGGTATCCCGGCTGCTTCGTTTCGAGGGAAGTGAACCCAAGTACAACCATTGTACCTTTGATTTGCAATTGTATGCTAATAATTTTGTTTATTAGTCTTTTCACAATCAGCAATGTTTTTTATGTATATATTTTTTTGGTTGCATGTGACCTTTAAGATTTTAGCCCATTGTACAGTACGTTATTAGCATTCTAAAGGATGATCCACTGTCCGCTCTTCTGTCACTTCATTGAAGAATACATTTGTCCTGATGGTTTTCTTTTCATTTTGCTATTGAATCCAGACTTTGTGTACTGTGTTCCAACTGAGAATACCTCTTTCATTATTTAAAGCATCCAGGCTGTGCAAAATTTTGGGAATGCCTGGAGCCGGAAATTCAGAGAACAAAAATGATGCATGGTGTGAGAATGATAATAATGCCAGAATCCACTACACATGATGGTTGGTTGTATTGACATTGCAATGATGAAAACTGGGACTCCACATATGATAAAAAAATGGATCTGATGGTTACCTTGTTCGCTTGCTCTTATAGACAAAATGAAGGGAAGTTCAGAAATGGTATCGAAGACCTTGGAGGATGTCTCTACCCCACAGGTTAGCATTTAGAGTGTTGATCCTACCACCATGTATGGATCATGGATATACTTCTACTTCCCACAAGCTCTTCAACATCGGATGAATCAACCACCTATAACTTGTAGGTTCATGACTTGAACTCCATCACCAGGTCAGAGGGTCACACACTACCGATCTAGGGATTGCTGCCCTTGACTTCCGACCCTCCTCAGCTGCATGATCATCAAACCAGCACGCTACATGAGCCTGAATTCCCAAGACATGTATCTCCATGTACAGATCTAGCTGAGTCATCACAAGTTCTTTGATAATACACTACCAGTGGATGGTCCTTCCATTTGTCATTGCTATGGCTATTTACCTGCATCACACAGTTGCTCCATTGGAGAGGGATCTTGTTCAGAGCATACAGTAATGGTTGCATTCATATATATTTATATTTATAAATACTTATCCTCTCTCACTTGATGGATTCCTACCGGGCCAACCTGCTATACAGATTACTGGGATGGTTCAGGCTCCAAGTCAAGAGAATGAAGATAGCTGGAAGTCACATGATCGACTGGGATAGGAGGCATGCATTGCATGAGCTGCCTGTGACTTCCTACAACAACATATTGAACTGGGGTGTGTTCGGGTGAGGTGTTGCCAGAGCCTGAATATTTTGTTCCAGGACCTTTCCACTCCATGGTCATAAGAGAAAATGCATAAGATGAGATATATTTATGAGAAGTATTTATAAATATACAATTTATTATCCCCAGCAAAGCGTTTTGAGGGGGGTATTAAAATGGACTCTGTCCGTCCGTCCGTCCGTCCGTCCGTGCACATTTGTCTTTTCCGGAGCTTAACTCTAGAACCCTTCAATGTTTCTTCACCAAACTTGGCACATAGATAGATCTGGTGGTGTACTGGTGCCTTTTGGTAGTTTTGGAATTCTTAATAAAATATTTTTGGCGTTTCCATGGCAACAAGTTTGACTTAGACTGAAATTGGTTGTGCTCTTTTCCGGAGCAGAACTCTAAAACCGTTCAATGTGTCTTCACCAAACTTGGCACATAGATTGGTCTGGTGGTGTACTGGTGCCTTTTGGTAGTTTTGGAATTCTGAATAAAATATTTTTGGCATTTCCATGGCAACAAGTTTGACTTAGCCTGAAATTGGTGATAGTGCTCCTTTCTGGAGCAGAACTTAAAACCTTTCAATACTCTCCTTCCACTTTTCTATATACACACCTAAATATTTGACATAATCATAACTCGTAGACATAATCATGAAGAGTATTTTGCCATTGCGGGGGATATTGATGACTTTGTCTTCTTGTAGTTACTATTTTCAGTTATTAAGGTAAGGTACATGTTATCCCAGATATCAATTATTACTTTCATTTGGGGTTAGTATTTCTTACTATGTGTTTATTGTTGGTTTAAATGTTATGAGAGTTTTATGTGTCTGCAGTTCTCAAAGGCAATACAGATGGGTGATAACACATCAGAGGAGCCAGCAAGAGATAGAGCCAACTCGGTGGACACTAACAGTAATACAAGCAGCACTCATGAAGATGCTGACTTAGTGATGCAAGCACAACCTTTCAGTGCTCATGCAAGAAAACTAAAACGGAGTTTCTTTTGTGTCATTTTGTAAAGGTTGGTAGAGGATCACCAGTTGTCTGTTGCTTGATGTAAGATTTACAGTAGTTTAACTGGATTTGTGTTTAGGACTTGGTTGGTTATATGTCATCATGCCCTGAAGGCATGGGATGTTGGTCATGATATCAATCACTGGTTTGTCTTATTACAGCTGGCCATAATACAGCCACCAATGACAACCTTGTAACAACAACCCCAAAACATGTAGTTATTCACATTTATGTACCTTTATACATAAGAAGTCAGATCTTTAAAAGGTGTTACGACAAACATATGTCATGCTTGTTGTCCCCCACCGCAACGCGGAACGGGGGACTATGTATTCAACGGCATGTGTCCGTACATCTGTCCGTCTGTCCCGATTCTTGTTAACGGGATAGCTCATGAACTGTTGTACCCAATGTCTTCAAATTTGGTGACAGCCTACATTGGGAGATTACCCAGACACCAGTCGATTTGGGTGACCTTGACCTTATTCTCAAGGTCACCACGACACTTTGACCACTTTTCAAACTCTTGTTAATGCGATATCTCATGAACTGTTGTACCCAATGTCTTCAAATTTGGTGACAGCCTACATTGGGGATTACCCAGACACCAGTCGATTTGGGTGACCTTAACCTTATTTTATATTAATGACAGCCTACATTGGGGGATTATGCAGACACCAGTCAATTCAGGTGACCTTGACCTTATTTTCAAGGTCACCATGACACTTTGACCACTTTTCAAACTCTTCTTAACGCGACATCTCATAGACTGTTGTACCAATGTCTTTAAATTTGGTGACAGCCTACATTGGGGGATTACACAGACACCAGTTTATTTTGGTGACCTTGACCTTATTTTCAAAGTCACCACGACACTTTGCACGCTTTTAACTTTTGTTAACGCGGTATCTCATGGACTGTTGTACCCAATGTCTTCAAATTTGGTGACAGCCTACATTGGGGGACTTGGCAGACACTAGTTTATTTGGGTGACCTTGACCTTATTTTCAAAGTCACCACGACACTTTGAACACTTTTCAAACTCTTCTTAACGTGGTATCTCATGGACTGTTGAACCCAATGTCTTCAAATTTAGCAACAGCCTACATTGGGGGATTACGCAGACACCAGTTGATTTGTGTGACCTTGACCTTATCTTCAAACGTAACTATGTCACAAATTTGAAAAATACCTTTTTCAAAGTATTTCTTTTCATTAAAACACCTATTTGGATTGTAAACATAATTTCAACTAAGAAGTCTTCAAATGACTCTGGTTTAACCTTTGCTGAGAGTTCAGAGAATCAGAGTGTAAATAACAATTAATACCTGAATTCAATCCTCTATACTTAGAAAGAAAAATCAGGAAGTTCACCTTTGAAAACTAGATATTAATCTGTTCACAGTTTCCTCTTCATGGAGATCCAGTGATTTCCAGGACAGTCCATGGATTTCCTGTACCACATCATTACCAACACCTGTCTCTCTACAATATGACGTTGCAGCTTGTGTTCTGTCCATGTTGTGGATGCCTTTGCCTTGACTTCTTCCTGACTCTGTTTCAACAGTGGTGGAAGGTCTGAGAGGGTAAATATTCCCTCTTCTGTGAGGCCCTTGGAATGCATAACTGTTCAGTTCATTACCATCTCTGTCACTCTGACAGACCAATTAACAATGACAGGGTCCAGTCTGTTTAACTTCTTGTGTTGTCATGGCAGCCAGTGTATATTAACAGATATCATCATGTTCATAAGGTCGACATCACTTGGCTCAAGTTGTAGTATTGGGGCAAATATATCCTTGACAGCATCACTTAGGTATCTGTCCTCAAAGGCAGCAATATAAAAATATATATAGAAATATGTATATCAAGTGAGGAAAAGAAATAATTCAGGCAGGTTGATGGATTGTAATTCAATGTCTGTCGTATATGTTTACATCAATAGTACCTGAATCAAATGTATTTGGATGGCAGTGAAGTGATACACATAACGGGTGAAAATTTATGGATCATGTCATCTTCTTTAACATGATGAGCACACAGTTGAGCTAGATTTTATTATTTTCTTATTATTGCATATTTTCTTTAATTAACAGAAAGGTCCTATTTTAGTGGCTCGATGGAATGGTAGAATGCTGATACTATGTAAATAATGGCATTGTGGGCAATCTTATGTGGAAGAAAAATCTTCTGTATGAAATTGCTAAATCATCTTGAATTGCAGTTTCCTGATCCAAATAGCCATAACAGTTAAATATCCATAAAACTACTTACATTATCCTAAACTAAACATCGTCATGAGCAAAATAATCTTAAGTATGATGTTAAACCCCATTTCACCTCACTTAAACTAAACATAACTGCATATGTCTTTTTGCAAATAAGGGGATTGTCTATGCATTGGTGATATGCTTCATTCAGAACTGCTTTATAGACGGTGTATATTATCTAGCATCAAGGTTTATATAGGGGATAAGCTTTTCAGACAGCAATATACAGTAATATAATATTCAAGTTTGCTACTGCAACTACTCAACAGTTCAGCTACAGACCCTTCAGCAATATTTTCATGTTTATATTTTCATATTTCCATAATAAATTAGTGTATTCCTGCCATTCTCACTTCTAAATATCCCACCTGACAATCATTTTTATTGTGCCTTATGTGAAGATGAAGGAAGTCAATACTTCTTATTTTACTTATTGAAAAACATTATGTGTGCAGTCTTACCTTCATGCTTCTTGTAAATAACATCCATACAGGTGATATAGACAGGTGCCCTTAATTGTAGGAATTCACATGTCTCTGGTCTCACTTTTTTAAACATTTTGCTTAAGGTGTTATCATGGTCTAATGATGTATTTTGCACATACCAGTACAATGGAGTTGTATTAATGTCACTCATTAATCACAATATATATACTGGACAAAAATATTTAGGGATATATGTAAATTTTGAGATTATGAATAATGATCTATTTATTCATTGACACACTGACAAAATATCAATCATAAAAATACAAATATCTCTAATTTATTTTGTCCAGTATATGTTCCTGTTTCCACCTCATTGATACCAGGGCGGTGGGAAAGCCTAGTGGTTAAAGCGTTGGCTCATGATGCTGAGGGCCTGGGTTTGGTTCCCCACATGGGTACGATGTGTGAAGCTCATTTCTGGTGTCCACCCACCCCCTCATGATATTGCTAGAATATGGCTAAAAGCAGCGTATAAACCATACTCACTCACTCATTGATACCAGCTGTGATTATACAGGAGTTATATCCATACTGTTTTATTTATGTTGGTCAATACACTACAGATTTGTCATGGACCTCTTGTGTCACTGATGTCAATATTGCTGCGATATTTATATGAGTTATACCTACCAGGTATACAGTTTTAGTTGTGAAGGCCAAAACACTTTAGTTTTGAAATATGACCCTGTTAGTCTATCTGTGATATATATTTGTAAGAATTATACCCAAATCTTTCAAAGTGTATTGGCAAGTACATGTACATTTTCATCTCAGGTCATGAGACTGCTGTTGGCAGCTTTTACCTCACTCACTCACCATACCCAAAACAAATAAACATGTTAAGCCTTTCCATTTGCTTTGATGATTATGTATCACAACTGACAAAGATAAATGAAACTGGCATAAAAAATCTTTCTCCAAATTTCACTCCCTACATCCCAAGAGCAGGACAGTCAAGTCAGTTACTTGACACTAGAATACAAGTAGGACTTACATTACTGTTCCAGTCATATCCAACTAATTTTCTGCAATGAATTGACAGTTGACTGACCGACTTTCTGCAATGCAAGTCTATACTCATGTATTAGCACATTTAGTTGTGACTGTACTGGATAGAACAATTAAATCGCAGAAAATACTCATTCAAATGCAGCACTCATAGCGAAGCACAAAGTTACATATACTCAGATATGGTGAATGTATTGCCTGAAAGTTTCATGCAGGATGTTTGTTTTGTGTTTATTTTTATTTATTTGTTGATATATTTCAACTTTAAAGCTGTTTATTTGTTAGTTTGATGCTGTATTTCTAGGCCAGGTGTGAACGTTTACAAAGCCTCTTGATCTTATTCTTGTCTGAAATTGTTATAGAAAATGTGCATAGATAAAAGATAAGTGTGGGTGAAATATTTGGAACACTGCTTCCTGAAACAAATGGCAATGACCCAGTATTTGGGTACACTCATTCTGCCTCACTAGGTTTGATACACTGATGTATCATGTAACACATTAGGTTGGAAACCAACAGTTGATACAATTATTTGTGATACAATCACCAGAAATGTGAGTAAATGTACATGTTGTTGGGAGATGTGTTTTCCATGTTGATTTCATGTATCATTAAGTTGTCACAACTAGTACAGGTAAGTTGTCACGACTAGTACAAGTGAGGTGTCACAACTGCTGAGTATGGACTCTTAATGCTCACTGAGGTATGCCAGGTATGAATAAATAGTTGATCATGTTTTTTAGCATGATCAAACGTTAAACAATGTTTTGTCTTATTTCACTCATGAATCTGTATATATGACATTGTGTAACACATGGGTATATGTATCATGATGTACACATAACAATGGTGAAGTCAAGATATACATATCATGATGGTGGAGTCATGATGTACACATAACAATGAAGTCAAGGTATACGTATCATTATGGTGGAGTCATCGTATCATGATGGTGGAGTCATAATCTACACATAACAATGGTGAAGTCACGATATATACTACCCATCAAAAGTTTAGACTCACTTAAAACATTCGCTATATGTTATGTATGTATATATGGTTACAACGAAGATGAATTTCTCCACTAACTTGGGGGAAACAACTGCAAACCTTATGCAGATTAATTGGACGAGGATCATGCATCAAACTGCTGAAGAGTATATGCAAATATCGTGCATGTGAACAGCTGCGTTTTGGTGTAAAGTTTTGATAAGAATTCACCATTTTTAACCAAGTTTCATCATTTATTGAACGCATGACAATAATCTTTTCAACGTTATGAATTTGTTTTACAATACATCAGTTCATGTATAAACAGCACCTTTAACAGTATGGAATACTTTGCAAAATTTAGTTTAGAACAGTTGCCTGAAGTAAGTGGCTACATATACACTAGTGAGTCTAAACTTTTGATGGGGAGTATATATATCATGATGGTGGATTCATGATGTACACATAACAATGATGAAGTCATTATGTACACAATAACAATGGTGAAGTCATAATGTACACATAACAATGGTGAAGTCATAATGTACACATAACAATGGTGAAGTCACGATATAAGTATCCAAACAGTAGAACGATCACAATTTTTAAACACCACAATGGTGAGTTCATATAATACATATTATGATGGTGACGTTGAGTTATAAAACATATTGCTGTGGTGAGGCTATCATTTACTACTTTCCACGATCATAATGTCACAATATGATACTTAACATGAAAGTTATGGGCAAATCACCATGCTGATGTCATGATTCAATTCTTATCACAATGATTTTTGTAGAAAGTGATTCACAATATATTATGCATCATGATGGTGAGGTCATGATATGTATATCCCAATGGTAGGGTCAAGTTTATACACAAATAATCTTATGGGACATCTATATCACTTTGAATGCACCTGTTCAGCAACAGAGGCTTGGTTTGACTCATTATACTGAGAAGGAAAGTTTAGGAACAAGAATATTTTGGGGCATATTTTTATGAAATATTGTATGCTTTATCTTTACTACTAAAAATAACCCTTAAAATATTTGTGATTCCGAACATATTTAGGTCCATTACATTACATTCAAGGGGCCGTGATGTAGCCCAGTGGTAAAAGCGTTTGTTTTTTGTCACACCAAAGATCCGGGTTCGATTCCCCACATGCTTACAATGTGTGAAGTCCATTTTTGGTGTCCCCTGTCATGATATTGCTGGAATATTCCTAAAAGCAAAAACTAAACTCACTCACTCACTCATTACATTTAAATCTATCGTCAACATTACATATTTACTAAACCAGTGAGGGTCAACAACATATGTATTTTATTCAATGTGTCTTGAAAAAATATACAACAATCAAATAATGATATATATCTTGTGCATATTTCTTGTACCACTGAATACACAAACAGTGTTATCTGAATGCTATCACAGTACTGATGATCACAGAAAGTATAAAAGTCTGTTGGCTTGTCGGTCATTACAACAAACAATCTTGTAACCTTCGTGAGATGGGTAATGCAGGTACTCAGATCAGGAGGGTCTTCAGATCCAGGTGTTGTCTGGTCTACCCAGAGCCAGGTGATATATTGTTCAATAAAATAACTATAAAAATTCCATGCATTTCTCAGACTATGCAAGCATCCCTTCTGACTTTCATATTATAAGTTGTATACTTCTCTCGAGTGTAATACAGTCTGATGTATGTCTCTTTGTAGCAGTGTCACCCGAGCCGGTAGGTAAGATAAATTTAAATATAGATAAATCTTCTCTCAACTTCACTGTATGTATCCTCAGATCTATTTTCATGAGAACTGAAATAGTTGTGACAAGGGCTCTTGTAAAGCAATTCCCGATTTGAAGAGTTTGTACCCATGCTTGAGACCCAAAGTGGGTGCCCAGGTAGGGTCAGGTGAACAAGGCTAGGATACACAGGTAGTGAGTTTGGACTGGTCCCAAACCTACTGGACTAGTCAGTAGTATTGCCTGTCTACTAATGGTAATTAAATTCTCATAAAACAATACAGAGGCCACTCTGTTTTGTTGCTGCTTTTTGAATAATTAGTTGTGGCATCATTAAGTTTATTTCTTCATGAGTGCTGCTAATATCACTATGATTGTCTCCTGAGTTGGATGCCTTGCAATTGGTGGTCCCCAGATCATTTCTTGCTACCTCTCCTGATGAAGTTTGGGCATCCATCTTTATTTTCTTTGAACACTGAAGAAAAAGCCAGTTATTATAAATTTAATTCATTCATGTAATTATGTATTAAATATTCTTAAACTATAAAAAGTACACAAATAATCTCCCTAAGTGTCTTTATGTCATTGCATCTCCCTGTCATCACTGTAACTTCATTAGATTTTGACTAAATGGATTCCTATCTACAAAAAAATCTGATGTTAGTGCTCACAATCACTCCACATAGATCAGTGAACAGCGGGCAAGGCAGAACAACACTGTTTGTGTGACAAGAAAGTATCAGACGGTTGATGTATCACAGTCATTGTGGTACAGGAAGTATCAGACGGTTGATGTATCACAGTCATTGTGGTACAGGAAGTATCAGTCGGTTGATGTATCACAGTCATTGTGGTACAGGAAGTATCAGACGGTTGATGTATCACAGTCATTGTGGTACAGGAAGTATCAGACGGTTGATGTATCACAGTCATTGTGGTACAGGAAGTATCAGATGGTTGATGTATCACAGTCATTGTGGTACAGGAAGTATCTGTCGGTAGGTGTGCCACACTGTTTGTATTTATTGATTGATTGATTGTTGTTTAATGCAGAACTCAGCAACATTCCAGACATATAGCAGCGGTCTGTAAATAATCGAGTCTTGACCTGACAATCCAGTGATCAACAGCATGAGCATCATACTATGCAGTTGGGATACGATGACATGTGTCAACCAAGTCAGTGAGTCTGACCACCCGATCCCATTAGTCACCTCTTACGACCAGCATGGGATATTGAAGACTAATTGTAACCCGTATCTTCACGGGTCCACAGTGTTTGTAAGACAGGAAGTATCTGTTGTTTGTGTGACAATATGAAGTATCTCTGGACAACTGTACCTGTTGGATATGAACCATGTTGCCTGCGTCACCTGTTAGGAGGCTGCCCATATTGAGGATGTTGAGGATGCTGCTACTGTTTGTGCGTGGAGACCTGTTAAATAGGGTAACAATATATTTACCTACAAACACTCACTGTGATAGAACTTAGTGTATCAAGCAGGGTATGAAACTACCAAAAATTTCAGCAAGACCACAGGGCTGGTTAGATGTAAAACTTGCCAGCCCTGACCAAAATTTACCTGCCCACAAAATATCTTCATATACATGTCTAAATTCTAACCCGACCGTCGGGCAGGTGAATTTGAGAATCTGGCAGTCTGTGTTGAAAATAACCCATCCCGGATGGTCAGGCAGGAAGGTCTTTCGAATACTGTATCAAGTAGTGTAACAGAAGGATTTAATCCCTAGATGTGAGGTCTCCTTGTCAAACAATGGACTTTGTACCGCAGCATTAATCAAAGTGAGCCAACAAAGGCATAAAGGACTCAACAATTGTGAAAACATCATGAATATAAAGTGAAGCAAAGTGTGTGTTAAAAATTAGAGTTACATAATGCTATGATTAGCTTTGTGACATGGACCAGGATGTAACAGATTACAGTCTAACACCCCAGAGATGCTGTTTGTAAAATATGATGTATATCTCACCAAGTGAAGTCTGAAAGCCATATTTTCACAAGTTGCTAAGCAACAAGTAAAAAGATGCTGTTCAGCCTTCACCAGATTAATGCAAACAACACCACAGCAATCACAAAAAAGATCAGTGGCCCACTTAATGGGATGTTTGGTGAACGAAAGTCAAACAAAAACGCTACAGACAGCATGATGTCAGTGTTTTGTGGCATAAAAGTGACAGGAAGGGCCTGAAACAATCACATATCACTGCTATATGTGCTAAATGCCTTATAATTGCCTGCTAGTTACCCAAACTTTGGCATCTTCTCACCCTATTCACATGGTTGAGAAGTTGTCAACAGACAAACCAAGGGAGATAACCTCCAAAGGCGACAGATGCAATCCCAGGCCCATAAGAATACTGGTTTATAGTTTCACAGTAGTAAACATAATGATTGTGATTTTTATGATGATGATTTGATCTTTTATGCTTTTCACAGAGCTGCATATGTCATACTCATTCAGTAATAGATTAGAACAATGTTTTTGGTGCCATGGCTCAGGGTAAGCCTGAAGAGCCAAAAAAGACTCACCGATTGTGCACAATATCCAGGATGTCAAGTTTAGCTTTGCTGAGGGCCAGATGCTCTGGTAAAGTGCAGGAGTAAGAGCCCTTCATTTTGACTCTGGTAGAATTGATGCTTATAGGCTCATCTTGTGTTTTTTTTGTGGGTTTCAATGCACTCCACAGTTTGTCATTGATGCTGACTTTGTAGTCCAGGAGATGGAGATAGTGGGGTCGGGCACTGAGGTGTGACCCTTCAATCAGGTACATCATCCTCGTGGGCTTTTCTCTCCGCTGTCTACACAGACTTAGATGAAGTTCCTCAAGGAGCTGAGCTGACTGGACATAGCCGTCGGACACTATGATGACCACAAGTTGGGACTGGTCCAACAAATGAAGTCTGTCTTTATTATTCTCACTGATGAAGGAGCAGTTTGTGTCTGGTGATGCCTGCTTTATCAACTCAGACAGAATTATAGCAAGACGGAGAGAGTCATGAGAGAAGCTGAATACAACACACTGACCCCCTCTGTCCAAATGCTGTTTGCTTGGGTGCTTATGATGAACTTCTTTTCCCTTTACTTTGTACAGTTTATCAAATTCTTGTTTACGGTGGATCTCTTGAACTTTCTGAGGTGTGACTGAGAGAGTTGGCTGAAACACCAAGAAAACTGTTATAAGGGACCGTTCATAATTTATGGCTTTTTGGGGAAGGAGAAAGAGAAAGAGGAGGCGATGATGATTTTAAGGGGGGTCACCCATTTTGTTCTGGGGAGCTGGGGGTCCATCAATTTTGTACACATGTACTAGGTGGGTCAGCGATTTTGTACATCAATATATTTAAAATTATGCTTAGAAATTATTGGAAGGGGGGGGTCCATTGATTTTGTACATGACATGCAGAGGGGTCACTTATTTTGTACATAAATTTTAGGGGTGGGGTGGGGTGGGGTGGTGTGTCATCCACATTGTACATGCTTTTCCATAAAAATCATCATCGACCCCCCTAGCCATAAATTATGAATGGTCCCTAACTGAGACAGTTAGCTGAAACATTAAAACAACTGTTATAATTGAGAGAGTTAGCTAAAACATCAAGAAGGCTGTGATAACAGAGAGAGTTGGCTGAAACACAAGGACATCTGTTATAACAGAGAGAGTTGGCTGAAACACAGGGACAAGTGTTATAACAGACAGTTGGCTGAAACACAGGGACTACTGTGATAACAGAGAGAGTTGGCTGACACACAAGGACATCTGTTATAACAGAGAGAATTGGCTGAAACACAGGGACGACTGTGATAACAGAGAGAGTTGGCTGACACACAAGGACATCTGTTATAACAGAGAGAGTTGGCTGAAACACAGGGACAAGTGTTATAACAGAGAGAGTTGGCTGAAACACAGGGACAAGTGTTATAACAGAGAGAGTTGCCTGAAACACAGGGACAAGTGTTATAACAGAGAGAGTTGGCTGAAACACAGGGACAAGTGTTATAACAGAGAATTGGCTGAAACACAGGGACGACTGTGATAACAGAGAGAGTTGGCTGACACACAAGGACATCTGTTATAACAGAGAGAGTTGGCTGAAACACAGGGACAAGTGTTATAACAGAGAGAGTTGGCTGAAACACAGGGACAAGTGTTATAACAGAGAGAGTTGGCTGAAACACAGGGACAGGGGACAACTGTTATAACAGAGAGTTGGCTGAAACACAGGGACAAGTGTTATAACAGAGAGAATTGGCTGAAACACAGGGACGACTGTGATAACAGAGAGAGTTGGCTGACACACAAGGACATCTGTTATAACAGAGAGAGTTGGCTGAAACACGGACAACTGTTATAACAGAGAGTTGGCTGAAACACAGACAAGTGTTATAACAGAGAGAGTTGGCTGACACACAGGGACAACTGTTATAACAGAGAGAGTTGGCTGAAACACAGGGGCAACTGTTATAACAGAGAGAGTTGGCTGACACACAAGGACAACTGTTATAACAGAGAGAGTTGGCTGAAACACAGGGACAACTGTTATAACTGAGAGAGTTGGCTGAAACACAGGGGCAACTGTGATAACAGAGAGAGTTGGCTGAAACACAAGGACAACTGTTATAACTGAGAGAGTTGGCTGACACACAAGGACAACTGTTATAACAGAGAGAGTTGGCTGAAACACAGGGACAACTGTTATAACTGAGAGAGTTGGCTGAAACACAGGGGCAACTGTGATAACAGAGAGAGTTGGCTGAAACACAAGGACAACTGTTATAACTGAGAGAGTTGGCTAAAACATCAAGAAGGCTGTGATAACAGAGAGAGTTGGCTGAAACACAGGGACAACTGTTATAACTGAGAGAGTTGGCTGAAACACAGGGGCAACTGTGATAACAGAGAGAGTTGGCTGACACACAAGGACAACTGTTATAACAGAGAGAGTTGGCTGAAACACAGGGACAACTGTGATAACAGAGAGAGTTGGCTGAAACACAGGGACAACTGTTATAACTGAGAGAGTTGGCTGAAACACAGGGGCAACTGTGATAACAGAGAGAGTTGGCTGAAACACAAGGACAACTGTTATAACTGAGAGAGTTGGCTGAGACATTAAGAAGGCTGTTATAACAGAGAGAGTTGGCTGAGACATGAAGACTACAACTATATCTGAGATAGTTTTCACATTATTTGAAATTACTGTGTTTCAGAATAAACATTACCTTGACAAAAGTTTGTCCCTTCTTTCCATTTCTGACCAAATTAATTATATCCCTGGTGATCTGTGAAAGAACTGCATTCTGATTGGCTGAACTGCCATCAAGTATGGCCACATGACCGAAGGTCTGAGACACAGTCTCGATGGGTTCTATACACACGGGAATCAGAGAGACATCTTTCTGAAAGGATGACAGTGTACACTTGTGTAATACTTGAGAGTAAATACTCAGCACAGAACACTCAACTATTGAATAAAGAATGTACATTACCACCTGGGCAGCAGATAAGTACAGTGAGCAAATGCCAGTTTGTGTAAATACGCTTGGTGTAAATGATTGAGACCAAACAAGTGGTCGACGTCATGAGTAATCCATAGTGTCTGAGGAGACACACAAGTTATATGTCCACACATACTATAAACACTAATCTCATTTAACTTTAACATAAAACATGTTTGTTTTTTAACAGGAACCTGTAAAAATTAACTGTCAATGTATACTGTGATCAGGGACATAATCACACTTTTTAAGAAATTAACATTTTCCAAGGGCACTTTATTGTCTGTAATTATCTACTACAATGTTTCTTATCCCATCATCTGGTGAATACTGTGTAAGTGTTTTGAGTTACTAAATATGCTATTTATTGATCACTTTTGCAAAATGCAGATTGATGAGTAAGAACAAGGCATATTCTGTATCACTTCTGGCAGGGAAATTTTATGGTTTGATTGATAGGTAGTCTACATGAAGGAAGCAAATGAACAGTAGCACTGTTAAAATAGTTTGTCAAATTCTTACTGTAGCTAAAGCCCTAGCGAGGGCAATGTTGTATTCCTCCTGACACACATCAGATGTCATGTAGCTCATGGACAGCAGAGCCACCACGTAGCGGGCTCCATCTATAGCATCATACAGAGTCTGCTGCCAGAGACTTCCTGCAATGAATTGAAAGTCTCTAATTTAAATGTGGGTTGAGTGACAATCATGACAACTGTTTCATAGTGTAGTCAGCATTAGTCCAGTATCACATGCATGAACTGTAAGAGATTTCCTGCATTGAAATCACATAACTGATTTCAACGTTAGTGAGTGACTACAATGGTAAGTGTTTCACACTGTAGTCTGCACTGTTCCACGTGTATGAGGGCAGCTTGTATATAACTGAATCTTGAGCAGGTATATGTGATTGAGTAAGAATCATGATGCAAGGTATACTGACAAGCATTCATTGAAGTCACTGATTGTGTGAAGCTCATTTCTGGTGTCCCTTGCCGTGATATTGCTGGAATATTGCTAAAAGCGGCGTAAAACCAAACTCACTCACTCGCTCACTCATTGAAGTCACTGAACTGACCAAAGAAGAATGATTAGGTAGCAATCGGGTTTGTCCTGCAATCCCCCAAATTCATGTACTTTCAATTTCCAATAACAGTAACTTGAAACATTTGTTTCATATCAGCTTATCTACTGACATGTGTTGGTTGAATATATCTAGGGAGATAGCTAACATTACCGGTCTTGAGTTCACTCCTGTCGAAGAAGACACTGAGTGTGGAGTCCTGTTCCTGAAGGCACTGTAGCAGAGTCTGGGCAGGGGTGGGGTCTCGATGGGAGTAGGATATGAAAACATCGTATGTCGTTTTGGATGGAGGTTCCGGTTTGGAGTTATCTTTGGTCTGATCAGACTCAGGCACTGAACTCAAAATTGTAATGCATGCCTGCTTGATCAGTGTCTTAGTTACCTCTCCTTCCTTCCGTTGTCTGCAATAGAAGACACTACTTATCAACATTTGACATTTGATAATTGACATTTTCTCTAAACTTAGTAACCTCTGTACCTAAATACTATGGCACTATTTGCAAATACATCTAACTAAAGTCCAGGTATCATCAATGAGAATAGTGGACAGACAAAGTAAAAGTGTTATAACATCTAGCATGATGTTCTGACAGAAAGGTGAAAGAAGTACTGACAAACATGAAAGTGTACATCCAGCATGACATAGGGTAAGCAACATAAACAAAGTGTATGGGCACCTGCACAATAGTTAATTGACTATGACTCTTTAGTCCAGCCAAAATACAACTCCATAATTCCTGCCTAGTTCAGCATTGTGTACTGACACCTAGCAAGATGTACTGACATCAGTGAAGTGTACTGACATTGAGCAAGATGTACTGACCTCGAGCAAGATGTACTGACATCAGTGAAGTGTACTGACACCTAGCAACATGTACTGACATCAGTGAAGTGTACTGACACCTAGCAAGATGTACTGACATCAGCGAAGTGTACTGACCTCGAGCAAGATGTACTGACATCAGCGAAGTGTACTGACACCTAGCAAGATGTGCTGACATCATCAGCAAAGTGTACTGAAAGTGTACTGACACCTAGCAAGATGTACTGACATCAGCAAAGTGTACTGACCTCGAGCAAGATGTACTGACATCAGTGAAGTGTACTGACACCTAGCAAGATGTACTGACATCAGCGAAGTGTACTGACACCTAGCAAGATGTACTGACATCAGTGAAGTGTACTGACATCGAGCAAGCTGTTCTGACATTCAACATGGTGTACTGGTTTGTAGGCAAGGTGTCCTGGCATTTAGCTTGGTGTACTGATATCTAACAACATGTACTAACATATGAAAAGGTGTACTGATTATAAGCAGGTGTACTGACCTGCACTCTATGTACTGCACCAGCTGCAAGTAGGAAGGTATGGAGCTGACAGTTTCCACATACATGGGACAGATCTGGTGCTTTGCAGAAAGCCGGTTCACACACAGAGCGATGTTGAACTGTTCCAGACATTCCTGACTCTCCACATATGCAGGAGTCAAGATGGTGATGATTCTGAAACAGGAATAGTGCAGAGCTGTACGAGTTAATGACAAGTGGGATAGATGCAGAATGAGTTAATGACAAGGTGATGGATATAATCAGTGACTGAACAATACACAGTATTCCTTAAACCTTCAGATCTGAAGAATTGTATTCATGGATGGACTACACAGAGATTGCATGAACACTGTACATAAAGAAAAAGAAATCTTTACAATGCATATTATTATCTCTGGAGCACCTTCATGAGTAAGTTCTGTTGTTTTAATCCAAATACAAGTCCTCATTGATTATATCTGTGTCAGAGCAACGTGAGGTCAGGAAATACACTTGCACCACTGGATCATAGGATACCTGGTCCCATATTTTCAAATTGGGACAGGGAGTAAAGTTATACCACTAGGCTATATCTATAGTGGGAGTACACTTTAACCATTGTGCATCTTGGGCCACATTGAGCCAGGGAGAAATGAAGGAGGCTTTTGTATTGTAAAGAAACCTCACCTGACCGACTGCATCATCACATGGAAGACATTCTCCTGCCACACCTCATCGGCTGAGAACTGGAGCTGTTGCTTGTACACCTTCAGTCCAGAGCGGATCTCTGTCAACTGGGCAGCAATCATGTCAGCCCAATGGTTGTCATGGCTACTGTGAGAGATGAACACATCAATACTCTGATCCTCTTTTGGCTGAAAATGTGAATCTCATGATGAGATATCGTATGAAACTTATGGTGAGATATCAGATGAAATTGATGGTGAGTTGCTTGGTTACAGGATGAAAATGTTTGTGATATATAGCATAAAACTGACAGTGAGATATTGGAAAAACCTGATGGCGAGATATCGGTGGAAACTCATCTTGGGGTACTTGAAAAGGATGGCGAAATAGCGGTAGGCATAAGAAGAAAAAGTCTTTTTATGCCCCAAAAGACATTTGTTATGAGAGTTATCTAGTTGTGAAAGCATGGTAGGAAGGTGTCATGAGAGGAGCCCTGTCATGGAAGCATGGATGGAAGGTCTGTTGTGTCATAAGAGGAGTTCTGTCATGGAAGCATGGATGGAAGGTCTGTTGTGTCATGAGAGGAGTTCTGTCATGGAAGCATGGATGGAAGGTCTGTTGTGTCATGAGAGGAGCTCTGTCATGGAAGCATGGATGGAAGGTCTGTTGTGTCATGAGAGGAGTTCTGTCATGGAAGCATGGATGGAAGGTCTGTTGTGTCATGAGAGGAGTTCTGTCATGGGAAGCATGGATGGAAGGTCATGTGATGGAGGAGGTCTGGAAGGTCTGTTGTGTCAGAGAGAGTTCTGTCATGAGAGGAGTTCTGTCATGTAAGTATGGATGGAAGGTCTGTTGTGTCATGAGAGGAGTTCTGTCATGGAAGCATGGATGGAAGGTCTGACAGGTGAGGTGAAATTGGGTTTAACGTCAGTGCTTGAGAATATTTCGCTCATATGACAACGTGCATGCATGTGTATGTGTATGTGCGGCTGCTTGTACTAGGCCAGACTTAAGCTGGTTTTATAGTGCTAGCCCACTGAGATACCATGCCGCAGTGAAGCATGAATACCCCACTCAGACACATTATACTGACTCCGAGCCGACCAGTCCTTGTTGTACCAATTAACGCCGAGCGCCAGGCAGGGACCAACAAGTACCATATTTTAACATCTTTTGGTATGACGCGGTCAGGGATCGAACCCCGCGACCTTCCGCTCTCCGGCGGACGCTCTAACCACTACACCATGGGGAAGGTCTGTTGTGTCATGAGAGGAGTTCTGTCATGGAAGCATGGATGGAAGGTCTGTTGTGTCATGAGAGGAGTTCTGTCATGGAAGCATGGATGGAAGGTCTGTTGTGTCATGAGAGGAGTTCTGTCACGGAAGCATGGATGGAAGGTCTGTTGTGTCATGAGAGGAGTTCTGTCATGGAAGCATGGATGGAAGGTCTGTTGTGTCATGAGAGGAGCTCTGTCATGGAAGCATGGATGGAAGGTCTGTTGTGTCATGAGGGGAGCTCTATCATGGATGGGAGGTCTGTTGTGTCATGAGAGGAGTTCTGTCATGGAAGCATGGTAGGAAGGTGTCATGAGAGGAGCCCTGTCATGGATGGGAGGTCTGTTGTGTTATGAGGGGAGCTTATCATGGATGGGAGGTCTGTTGTGTCATGAGAGGAGTCCTGTCATGGAAATATAAATGGAAGGTCTTTTGTGTCATGAGAGGAGTTCTCTCATGGATGGGAGGTCTGTTGTGTCATGAGAGGAGTTCTGTCATGGATGGGAGGTCTGTTGTGTCATGAGAGGAGTTCTCTCATGGATGGGAGGTATGTTGTGTCATGAGAGGAATTTATATTTTTCACCTCAAGATTTTGCTTCATTCTTTAGTCATAAAGATCATATTCTATCACTTCTATTTTTCTTCAAACCAGATGGAGGAACTGGGGACCTATTAGGACTTAGAAATCCCCAAAAGGTTGAAGCACTAAGGGACCGTTCATAATTTATGGCCGGGGGGTGGGGTGGTGGTGTGTATGTGTGTGTGTGAGAGTGAGTGATGATGATGATGATGATGATGATGATTTTAAGGGGGGGATGGGAGGTCTGTTGTGTCAAGAGAGGAGTTCTCTCATGGATGGGAGGTATGTTGTGTCATGAGAGGAGTTCTGTCATCGATGGAAGGTCTGTTGTGTCATGAGAGGAGTTCTGTCATGGATGGAAGGTCTGTTGTGTCATGAGAGGAGTTCTCTCATGGATGGGAGGTATGTTGTGTCATGAGAGGAATTTATATTTTTCACCTCAAGATTGTGCTTCATTCTTTAGTCATAAAGATCATATTCTATCACTTCTATTTTTCTTCAAACCAGATGGAGGAACTGGGGACCTATTAGGACTTAGAAATCGCCAAAAGGTTGAAGCACTAAGGGACCATTCATAATTTATGGCCGGGGGGTGGGGTGGTGGTGTGTATGTGTGTGTGTGAGAGTGAGTGATGATGATGATGATAATGATGATGATTTTAAGGAGGGGATGGGAGGTCTGTTGTGTCACGAGAGGAGTTCTCTCATGGATGGGAGGTATGTTGTGTCATGAGAGGAGTTCTGTCATCGATGGAAGGTCTGTTGTGTCATGAGAGGAGTTCTGTCATGGATGGAAGGTCTGTTGTGTCATGAGAGGAGTTCTCTCATGGATGGGAGGTATGTTGTGTCATGAGAGGAGTTCTGTCATCGATGGAAGGTCTGTTGTGTCATGAGAGGAGTTCTGTCATGGATGGAAGGTCTTTTGTGTCATGAGAGGAGTCCTGTCATGGAAATATGAATGGAAGGTCTGTTGTGTCAAGAGAGGAGTTCTCTCATGGATGGAAGGTCTGTTGTGTCATGAGAGGAGTTCTCTCATGGATTGGAGGTCTGTTGTGTCATGAGAGGAGTTCTGTCATGGATGGGAGGTCTGTTGTGTCATGAGAGGAGTCCTGTCATGGAAATATGAATGGAAGGTCTGTTGTGTCATGAGAGGAGTTCTGTCATGGATGGCAGGTCTGTTGTGTCATGAGAGGAGTGAGGTCATGGATTGGAGGTCTGTTGTGTCATGAGAGGAGTTCTGTCATGGGATGGGAGGTATGTTGTGTCATGAGAGGAGTTCTGTCATGGTACATGGAAGGTCTGTTGTGGTTGAGAGGAGAGTGCTGTCATGAGATGGAGCAGTCAGTGAAGCATGATTCTCAGACACACAGATACTTGAGCCCGATATGTCCTTGTTGTACCAATAGTTCTCTGTGGCATGGATGGCAGGTCAAGTACCATATTTTAACATCTTTGGTATGGCGCAGTCAGGATTTCTGAATGGATGGGAGGTCTCAGCTCTCCGGTGAGAGGAGTTCTCTCACCATGGGAAGGTCTGTTGTGTCATGAGAGGAGTTCTGTCACGGAAGCATGGATGGAAGGTCTGTTGTGTCATGAGAGGAGCTCTGTCATGGAAACATGGTGAGAAGGCGTCATGAGAGGAGCCCTGTCATGGATGGGAGGTCTGTTGTGTTGTGAGGGGAGCTCTATCATGGATGGAAGGTCTGTTGTGTCATGAGAGGAGTCCTGTCATGGAAATATGAATGGAAGGTCTTTTGTGTCATGAGAGGAGTTCTGTCATGGATGGGAGGTCTGTTGTGTCATGAGAGGAGCTCTGTCATGGATGGGAAGTCTGTTGTGTCATGAGAGGAGTTCTGTAATCGATGGAAGGTCTGTTGTGTCATGAGAGGAGTTCTGTCATGGATGGAAGGTCTGTTGTGTCATGAGAAGAGTTCTCTCATGGATGGGAGGTATGTTGTGTCATGAGAGGAGTTCTGTCAAGGATGGAAGGTCTGTTGTGTCATGAGAGGAGTTCTGTCATGGATGGGAGGTCTGTTGTGTCATGAGAGGAGTCCTGTCATGGAAATATGAATGGAAGGTCTGTTGTGTCATGAGAGGAGTTCTCTCATGGATGGAAGGTCTGTTGTGTCATGAGAGGAGCTCTGTCATGGAAGCATGGTGAGAAGGTGTCATGAGAGGAGTTCTGTCATGGATGGGAGGTCTGTTGTGTTGTGAGGGGAGCTCTATCATCGATGGAAGGTCTGTTGTGTCATGAGAGGAGTCCTGTCATGGAAATATGAATGGAAGGTCTTTTGTGTCATGAGAGGAGTTCTGTCATGGATGGGAGGTCTGTTGTGTCATGAGAGAGGAGTTCTGTCATGGATGGGAGGTCTGTTGTGTCATGAGAGGAGTTCTGTCATCGATGGAAGGTCTGTTGTGTCATGAGAGGAGTTCTGTCATTGATGGAAGGTCTGTTGTGTCATGAGAAGAGTTCTCTCATGGATGGGAGGTATGTTGTGTCATGGGAGGAGTTCTGTCATCGATGGAAGGTCTGTTGTGTCATGAGAGGAGTTCTGTCATGGATGGGAGGTGTTGTTGTGTCATGAGAGAGGAGTCCTGTCATGGAAATATGAATGGAAGGTCTTTTGTGTCATGAGAGGAGTTCTGTCATGGATGGAGGTCTGTTGTGTCATGAGAGGAGTTCTCTCATGGATGGAAGGTCTGTTGTGTCATGAGAGGAGTTCTGTCATGGGTGGGAGGTATGTTGTGTCATGAGAGGAGTCCTGTCATGGAAATATGAATGGAAGGTCTGTTGTGTCATGAGAGGAGTTCTGTCATGGATGGAGGTCTGTTGTGTCATGAGAGAGAGTTCTCTCATGGATGGGAGGTCTGTTGTGTCATGAGAGGAGTTCTCTCATGGATTGGAGGTCTTTTGTGTCATGAGGGGAGCTCTATCATGGATGGAAGGTATGTTGTGTCATGAGAGGAGTTCTCTCATGGATAGGAGGTATGTTGTGTCATGAGAGGAGCTCTGTCATGGAAATATGAATGGAAGGTCTTTTGTGTCATGAGAGGAGTTCTGTCATGGATGGGAGGTCTGTTGTGTCATGAGAGGAGCTCTGTCATGGATGGGAAGTCTGTTGTGTCATGAGAGGAGTTCTGTAATCGATGGAAGGTCTGTTGTGTCATGAGAGGAGTTCTGTCATGGATGGAAGGTCTGTTGTGTCATGAGAAGAGTTCTCTCATGGATGGGAGGTATGTTGTGTCATGAGAGGAGTTCTGTCAAGGATGGAAGGTCTGTTGTGTCATGAGAGGAGTTCTGTCATGGATGGGAGGTCTGTTGTGTCATGAGAGGAGTCCTGTCATGGAAATATGAATGGAAGGTCTGTTGTGTCATGAGAGGAGTTCTCTCATGGATGGAAGGTCTGTTGTGTCATGAGAGGAGCTCTGTCATGGAAGCATGGTGAGAAGGTGTCATGAGAGGAGTTCTGTCATGGATGGGAGGTCTGTTGTGTTGTGAGGGGAGCTCTATCATCGATGGAAGGTCTGTTGTGTCATGAGAGGAGTCCTGTCATGGAAATATGAATGGAAGGTCTTTTGTGTCATGAGAGGAGTTCTGTCATGGATGGGAGGTCTGTTGTGTCATGAGAGGAGTTCTGTCATGGATGGGAGGTCTGTTGTGTCATGAGAGGAGTTCTGTCATCGATGGAAGGTCTGTTGTGTCATGAGAGGAGTTCTGTCATTGATGGAAGGTCTGTTGTGTCATGAGAAGAGTTCTCTCATGGATGGGAGGTATGTTGTGTCATGGGAGGAGTTCTGTCATCGATGGAAGGTCTGTTGTGTCATGAGAGGAGTTCTGTCATGGATGGGAGGTCTGTTGTGTCATGAGAGGAGTCCTGTCATGGAAATATGAATGGAAGGTCTTTTGTGTCATGAGAGGAGTTCTGTCATGGATGGGAGGTCTGTTGTGTCATGAGAGGAGTTCTCTCATGGATGGAAGGTCTGTTGTGTCATGAGAGGAGTTCTGTCATGGGTGGGAGGTATGTTGTGTCATGAGAGGAGTCCTGTCATGGAAATATGAATGGAAGGTCTGTTGTGTCATGAGAGGAGTTCTGTCATGGATGGGAGGTCTGTTGTGTCATGAGAGGAGTTCTCTCATGGATGGGAGGTCTGTTGTGTCATGAGAGGAGTTCTCTCATGGATTGGAGGTCTTTTGTGTCATGAGGGGAGCTCTATCATGGATGGAAGGTATGTTGTGTCATGAGAGGAGTTCTCTCATGGATAGGAGGTATGTTGTGCCATGAGAGGAGTCCTGTCATGGAAGCATGGATGGCAAGAGTGGGTGTCATGAGTAAAATAAAATCTTCTCACCACTGCATGGAGGAATTATTCTGACAGGAGAAATTATTGTTATCTCACCTGTCTCTGATTCTGTGCCTCCCACACAATCTTTAGGTTCTTGAACACTTCCACAGCAACCATGTCTCTGTGAGCATACAGGACAATCTTCAGACATCTTAGAGGCAGTCCGGCCTTGATCCAGTGACAAGCTCCCTCCACCATTGCCTTCAGCACTGCCACTTTCGACTGACCCTGGATCACACAGTAACAAAAACAAAGGTTAGGAGGTACACTGTGAGTAAACATTTCAAAATTGTAGATTGTTGTTTACAAATAACATTTCTTTCCTAATAAGAAATACACTCAAAGCTCAGTGTCATTGGTTGATTTTCTTCTAACACTGACATCCCAACCTAATATAATAGAATAAAGGTTGATGAAAATGACATCAATAACACTTTCAGAAATCAAGTGAAGTTTTCAAACTAATTTTCTGAATTTAAGTGTTCTATATTCAGAGCTCCAGATAAGGGTAATATCAGCATATGTACGGATAAAATATACCCAAGATACGGTAGGAAATAATTTAGAAAGCATAGCAGATACACACCACAGCAATGGTGTATGGTCTTAGAATCATTTACAGACGTATTTATCTGAAAAAAGTATTATTTTATTGTTTATTGACCTGTTTATACAAGTGTAGCAATGTTGTGGTGCATATATGAAAATATTTCCTCATATGACGACGTGCATGCGTGTGTATGTGTATGTGCGGCTGCTTGTACTAGCCCAGACTTAAGCTGGTTTTATAGTGCTAGCCCGCTGAGATACCAGGCCGCAGTGAAGCATGAATACCCCACTCAGACACATTATACTGACTCCGAGCCGACCAGTTCTTGTTGCCAAGCGCCAGGCTTGGACCAACAAGTACCATATTTTAACATCTTTTTGGTATGACGCGGTCAGGGATCGAACCCGCGACATTCCGCTCTCCGGGCGGACGCTCTAACCACTACACCACGGAGGCGGTCAAATCTACAAGTACTAGAGCTAATGGTACTGAGTAATCAAGCTGTGTATTGAAATTTTTGATGATAACATAGAGAAATGATTTTCAAGCAGTACCAAGGTGACACAGTACATATTTATTTCAATAACATGAGTATAGATTGCATAAAATCATGTCCAGAAAATCCTGATTTCATGTTTAGCTTATTGAATAGCAAAATATAATGAAATCTATTATCAATACTTCACACTATTTTTCATGTCTTAAACTCAAACTTGCATTTTGTTATACTTAAAAATGGAAGTTGTGATATCAAGAGAAATACGATTGATATAATGCAATAACAAAACATCCCCTCCTAACTGTGATATTGACAGTATATATGGTCATATGTCAACGCCATGATTAAACACCAGGAAAGATAACTCACCATAGAAACCATAGAAATGTACAGTGAACACATTTTGACCTTTGGAACTAACTCAGGTTTAGAGGCACTCTCATCTATTTATTCAACCCCATCCTACAGACATGTATCTTACATAATGTAAGATAGTGAATTAATGTGATTACATGTTATTATTCTCTGTTGGCATGGATTGTTGCTAGTCCATTAATAATAATATTATTGTAACAATATTTATGAAGCACTTAAAGAACCCTCCATCTATATTCTCCCAGAAAGACATGGGAAAATTCAGGTGAAAAGTCAATAACTTCTGTAAAGAGGAAGGGTTTAAGTTGACATCAGTGGGAATCAATACTGTGTCCACGATTCAACAGAGAAAGAGTGTTCAGCCAACTTTGCTCTGATGTCTGGTATGACGAGCTACTGTTCTAAATGGTTGATACATTTGAATGATGTCTTTGAGGCATCCTGGTGCTCAGTCATCATTTGGAGATGAATGAATCGTGACAGAATCCTGAGCTGAATCCTCGACTGGCCACTGGTTTGCCTCATACAGGTTCCATTATTTACTGTGGCAATCAACAGTATTCACTCAGTCAGTTAGTATTTTATATTTTTCACCTCAAGATTTTGCTTCATTCTTTAGTCATAAAGATCATATTCTATCACTTCTATTTTTCTTCAAACCAGATGGAGGATCTGGGGACCTATAAGGACTTAGAAATCCCCACAAGGTTGAAGCACTAAGGGACCGTTCATAATTTATGGCCGGGGCTGGGGTGGTGGTGTGTGTGTGTGTGTGTGAGAGTGAGATGATGATGATGATGATGATGATGATGATGATGGATGATGATGATTTGGGGGTCACCCATTTTGTTCTGGGAGCTTGGGGTCAGCAATTTTGTACACACGCATTACTAGGGGTCAGCAATTTTGTACATATAAATATGTTTAAAATTATGCTTATAAATTATGGGAAGAGGTGGAAGGGGCCATTGATTTTGTACATGACAAGCAGGGGGGGTGTCACTTATTTTGTACATAAATTTTAGGGGGGGGGGGGGCATTCACATTGTACATGCTTCTCCATAAAAATCATCATCACCCCCCTAGCCATAAATTATGAACGGTCCCTAGGAATTCACTGTCTTCATCACCTGACCTTGGAGAGGGAACAGATACTCACATAATTTCTTCTTTGTATAATGATGCATCATTGTTGCCTGTGGGTAGCCATACATTAGGACAGTAATATTTTACCAGGATATAAGGTAAGTGTCTCTTGCTGCAGGCCTCTTGTTGGATCACAAAGACTATGTTACAATTTTATTGCTGGTTTCTGAGGAGAGGATGTGGGTTAATGATTTGATTTTTCTTCACTTCAAATGATGATGCTTTGGGCACAACCAGGGGACAACTAAACATGGATTCAACTAAAAGAAAATGCAACTATATGTGAACTCTGACCTGTCCTCCTGTGGCTAGGAGAGGGGTTATGACTGTTGTGTCTTCATTGTTAAAGATGGGCGTCATGGCACGGAACATGTCACCAATATGCTGGACGGTTGTTTGTATTACTGTCTCACGAGCCCTGAATTTGCAACATTAACATTCATGTTCATCTTTTGTTGACAGTTTTCAATAAATCATCAAAGACACTGTGTTGTGCACTTGCAAAAGCGATATCCAGTGAGTGAGTGAGTTTAGTTTTACACTGCTTTTAGTAATATACTAGCAATATCACAGCAAGGCTGCATGCAAATGTCAAGACAGGTACTGGTGATATTGCTGCTTGTTCAGATCATAACAGAACAGTGACATTTTTGGCATTCTGTCATTCCAGTTGGTCTCAAAATGAAACAAAGATGTCAAAGCTGTCTAAGGTGTTATTCATAACCGAATGAAAATATGACACACGGCATATTCAATGATTGAGATTGAAGTCAAGAAACTACAAACATCAACATGACTTCACCATCTACTGTACAGCTCACGTGAACGATGATATATAGGTTTTACTTTATTACTTCTACAACTAGTTCACTACTGAAAATGTAATAACCTAAGATAAACTTTCCCATCTCATAGTATGCAAGGTTCTTCATCATAGTTCATCTCTTCTTTTAATTTCTTTTTGTAATTTTCAATGGTGCATTTTCCCAGAAGTTTCATCAAATCTACTTTGGCCAAATAAAAAAATGTTGTGGTTCCGATTACTCCTCTTTAAAATTTAGGGAAGGTAGGTAGTAATATTTTTTTTAACATTTTTTTAGAAATAAAGTGCAAACTAATAACACTTTTATCAATGAGTAATTGTTTATTCAATCAAGCTTGCAGCCATCATGTCAACATTCTCTTTCAGAATGGCCATTGTCTGTCAGTGCAGGAAAAAAACAATGGCATCTGAAAGCTTATTCTATTCCTACCCCTTAAAAATTATAGGGTCAGCACCATAATTTAAGGGTCAGTCGGGTAATTGGAACCATAACAATATTTTTGTAGGCCTTTGTTGACATCATGTTTAAAATATAGTTTCTGATAGTGACACTTTCCCTTGTGTATACACTAAAGAACATCATTTTCCCACAGAATGTCCTATCTGTGTAAATGATTTATTGAAACAGTTCTTCTTTCAATTCCCACAGAATGTTTAGTAGGTTTTCTCCCAATGCAGATAATTCTGTCAACAACATCCAAAACAAGAAGACATGGTCATCAATATCCCCTGCCACAGTGTTCTGTTCCTATTTGGTTCCTGTTTTTCAACTCCACCATGACATACCACATTTGGATTCCCTATCCATAACGGTTACTGAGAAAATCTGTTCCCATTGGGGATAACGTGCCCTTAGTCAAGAAACGCATGACAAGGGCCATAACTCTGTAACAAATTGCAACATCATCCCGCTTTCGACCTCCATCAAGGCACTCATGTCCTGAAAACACATACTAAATTTGGTGTCCCTATCTATAATTGTTTCTGAGAAAATCTGTCCCCATCATCTTGGAAGGATGGACGGACGGACGGAGCAGGGGATAATAATGTCCATTATCATGGTTATATGTCCAACATAATAATTGCATTTTGTCTCCAACACTGTAGAGGGTTTGAAATCATGATACATATGTTTTGCACTGACTTCTAAATTCACTTGTTTTGAACTATGGTCTATATATAGATATGACACCGTTTCTGTGTACCATGTTGTGTAACTTGTACTCTCTTCACAAACATATTGTGAATTATAATCCACCTTCACTGCTCATGCAGAATATTCATAAAATGTATTTGTCAGCTTATCTCAAATTATGGATCACTCGATATATTTCCCTTTAGCCCCTGGTACTCACAGATAATCAACATATATTGATCTAAACATCATTAGGTTTGGATATTCAAAAACAAAAAAAAGATCAAGATTCCTATAGGCCATAAGCACCTCTCAAAACACACCAGTCGCCTGTAGGGGATATTGTTGGGCAGTGGTTTGGACACCCAGCAATGGAAGTGAGTCCTGAGGTCAAGCTCCTTGTCCAATGACAGTTCACCGACATTGATCTGCAGCTTCTGACTCAAGGCCCCGATGAGTGTTGATTTGGCAGAATGTGAATATCCCCCTGCACATATATTCAGATTAAAAAGAGCTGGGAATTGTTATCACTGCATTATTGGCATGATAAACACATGAAACATCATTTCCACTAGATAGATATCAAAAACATTTTACAGTGGAATTATCAATAATGTTACAAATCATGTACGTAAGTATCATTTCAATATATAACTATCATGATTTCTTATAGTATTTTTGATTAAAAAGAAACATATTGTAAATTGACAAACTACCACGAGTGGCTGACACTATGACTATGTCCACTGCCTCATCTTGTTGCAGCTGTGTGATGTCCCCTATCAGCAGCTGTATCTCGCTTGTACCCAGGGCTGTCTTCAGCTGGATGCTGTCTTCCTTGTGGAGAACCATCTTTCACCTCAACAGGATCAAACACTGAGAGACATCCTTTATCTGCAAAGGGTCAAACACTCTGTCTGAACAGAATAAGACATTGTTCACTAAGATAGAATCGCAATACATTCTTCACGTGTATAAGATCAAACAATGACAATACCATTAACATCAATAAAATCAAACACTAAGAGTCACCAAACACTGGTCAAGATTCAAATTGCTCTGCTGTTTAACTTTTCTTTTGCACATAACATAATAAAAATCACAAAAAAAAAACCAATTAAGTTTATATTTGCAATCTAAAGTATTTGTTTGACTCATTACAACATATTGATCAGTTTGTTTATCATGGCCGTTCACTCTGAAGCTGAGCATGGACATATGAAACAAAGAATGATATGGATGAGCTAATATAGAAAAGGTGAAGCAGATAGAAGACATTTAACACTGTGTTATACACGTACAGTGCTGTCAGTCAAAGGCTCAGAGTATTACAGATCCTGGCACAACTAAGGAATGCAACTCTGTATCCACCGGCATACACCACTTGGCATTAACTACATGATTGAGTGAGTCAGTTTAGTTTTACGCCACTTTTAGCAATATTCCAGCAATATTATGTCAGGGGACACCAGAAATAGGCTTCACACATTGTACCCATGTGGGGAATCATATCCCAGGTTTTCAGCGTGACAAGCAAACGCTTTTCTACATAAAGAGTGTTCACTAACACTAACCATACCACAAGCAAAGAGGATGAAAAGCACAACACAATCATATTGTACCAGTACTTCACACATATCTCCAACTAATTAATGTGATGTCTACTCACAAAATATAGGAAACATATTTTTTCTTAAGTAGTAATCAAGATTTACAGTTGTTGCTGATAGATCAAGGATCATAATCTAATCTAAGCTAAAGGGTTAATTAGCCTGCACTTTAATTGAGACAATCTCACAAATAATTAGTCTTTGGTTGCAAAGAAAAACATTTTAAGCACATGCAGAATAGCCATTTACTCTGACTCCAAACTTGGCAAGGCAGGATTAAAAATCTCTATTTCAAATTTCACTGTAATAAGCAAATGTACACAAGTGGTATCATACTTAACTTTGATATCACAGAATATTAATATGTATATATAAACTAGTGCTCAAAAGAAACTATACACAGCAAAATATTACATAAAAATTCATAAAAATGAAGTGTTAAAACTGTGTCACACATCTATGAACAAACAACGAAACAAGCTAACAAATCGCCTAAACATTGCAAAAAATCCAAAACGACTCTTTCTGATGTAACACGAAATGCATGTGCATAATGACATTATGAAATAGACTACGCGACACGTCAGCAACACAATAGTAAAAAGAACAAAAATATGCCAGGTTTGAGGCAAAAGAGAGAGAGCTGTCGGAATGACCCAACAAGGAGCTAACCACACTGTCATTGCCAGAACCTTCAGCTGCACCCAAGCAACTGTCATTAGACCGATGCAACGACTAAGACAAACAGGTAATACGTCAGACAAGGCCTTGGAGTGATTGACCATGTGTCCCAGAGATGATCGCCACATCCGAGCAATTTGTTTGAGAAACTGTTTTGTAATGGCGACATCAATGGCAACAACTGCACTAGGACCCTGTATCACTTGACATACAGTGTACTGGTGTAACAGGCCAGAGTATACCCCTGTCCCAGACTATACCCGGGGTTAAACTTGGCTAGCCCAGACTATACCCCAGGTATAATCTGGGCTAGCCTAGTTTATACCCCGGGGTATATTCTGAACTAGGCCATAGTATACCCCCCAAGTCCAGATTATACCCCTACAGAAATTTTATTGTACTTCTCACGCAATTAAACACTGGTTACAACATTGAAATGGTCCGATACATTTTCCAGATACAAAGCATAATCAGTGTGAGTTTTCAAGCTGAAGCTGGCAGGGTACATCAGCCACTGCATTGACTGACAAACTGTACTGTAAATATATATGTCACATTTTAACAGACTGGCTGTTGACATAACTTCTGCATCTGTTGCCCACACTCCATCTCGTGAAATTCCCGAATTAGTGATGTACTCATTGACATTTTGGTTCAGGAAATGAATAATAACGCAAGGATATTTTGCTGAAGGTTTTATCTCTGCCAAAGTGTCCACCTGTAGATGGGTTGTCATGGCATGCTTTCAGGATGCTGGGTAGGCGGCTTTTGTCGAGCACTTCCCTTTCACCACGAAAGACAATTCTGTTTGCTACCCGAAATGGCTTTGCAGTTTGCCGAAAATGTGACTTCGCATTCAAACGCGTGTCAGGATCCAGGTCATAGATGTGCCGAGGATACTTCTTATCAGAGTTGGTGTAGAAGTTCAAGATCTGGGTATAGAGGTTGTCATCCATGTTGAAGGTTGAATGTGATATAGGATGCGGAATGAAATGCACTTTTAAATACATTTACATGACACCAAGATCAGTCTCCAGAGTCACTTGTTCATATTAATAAATAAATACCAGCCCCTACTCACACCATCACCAGCCCCTTCTCACACCGGTTATCTCCCATTAGTTAGACAGCCAGTTGTTAGACAGTGGAGTAGGGTATTAATTAAGACAACACCCACCTCCATAATGGTACAGCTCTAATTAGATTGATGATAATTGATCATTTTTTAGGGGTATAGTCTGGGCTGGGGGGTATACTTTGGCCTAGTCCAGAATATACCCCCCGGGTATAAACTGGGCTAGCCTATAGTTTACCCTGGGGTATAATCTGGTGGGGGGTTATTCTGGGCTGCTACACCGGCAACTAAGAGAACATGGTATTCGAGCACGTCGACCCTACGACGGAGTGCATCTGATTCTTCAAAACCAACATTGTCGATTGACATGGACCAGGCGAGTTCGAAGTTGGCACATGTGTGTTTGGAGATGTGTGATGTTCACCACCTAGAGCAGGTTTTGCCTGTACAATAATGACGGCCAGACTCGTGTTTACAGACGAGCATGTGAACGTTTAATGCCAAATTGCGCTCAGACTCCATTTGGAGGTGGTAGCGTCATGGTGTGGGGACAGACCTGCCCCGATCTCAAAAGGAGACTTGTGCTTATTCATGGCAGCCTGAATGCTCGACTGAGTTTAGTTTTACGCCACTTTTAGCAATATTCCAGCAATATCACGGCGGGGGACACCAGAAATGGGCTTAACACATTGTGCCCATGTGGGGAATCGAAACCCGGGTCTTCGGCACTGAATGCTCGAAGACACAGGGATGAAGTTTTGTGACCAGTTGTGTTGCCATATATCAAGCAGCAACAACATGGCATTGTCTACCAACATGATAATGCAAGGCCTCATACAGCAAGACTGACAAACGACTTTCTGCATAATGCTAACATCGTTGTTTTGCCATGGCCAGCATGTTCTCCCGACATGAATCCGATAAAACACTTATCATGCTTATGGGACTACCTGGATCAACAAAGACTACCAGCATCACCTGTCACCGCTCAACTACAGAAATGGCAACAGATCACGCCTAACATCATTCGCCGTCTTATGTCATCAATGCGTCGATGTGTTTTGGCGTGTATTGAAGCCACTGGTGGTCACACTCACTATTGATTCAACATTTGCAGAAAAAATGCCTTGTTAAGTTTGTATGAATTGAAATTGTGTACATTTGCTGTAGAACTAGAAGTGAATACTCTATTGAAATTAAACAGATGTTCATTTACATATACTTTTCTTTTCTTTTCAAGTTTGATCAAACATACTGTATACTTTCTTTTGAGCACTAGTTTATATACTCAAGGTTATATCAGAAAAGGTGGACTTACAGCAAACATAAGAAATATTTAGGCAAATGGAAAAATAATCTTTACGGAAGATTTACTCCAATTAGTTAGACATCCCAATTGTCAGACATTGGACTAGGGATTAATAAGCCAATTGGATAGCCTCCATAGCAGTTTACTTCAACCAGTTATTTGAACCTAAGGAAAACTGTTGTTGTGTTTAATGTGTCTACTCAGTTATTCGGGTTGCAGGTACAGTTTTTCCTAAAGCTGAAATTAAGGGCTGCTTTTATTTGATACACGAGGGTGCTGCTTCTTGTCAATACAAAATGCAGATAATACAAGGCGTGTGTTTTCATCATCCAAAGGGGGAGTGATAAGATCTATAGGGGAATGATTTAATACAAGAATAAGATCACTGACGAAAACATTGGATGCATTTATAGAATCTGTGTCCCCTGTCGTATGGTTTGTGTTAGGTTTGAACACTGAGTGTTTTAGGTGTAGGAAAACAGGGTTAAATAGCAGTGTAAGTAGGGGACAGGGGTTCATACAGGGATATTAAGATATTAATGTTGATAGATTAATTATTTACCAGATAGTCTTGTAGCACATTGCTTCACTTGTTCTAATGTCAGGGGTTACTGTTCATTTTAGTGCTAGATACATTGGGTAGGCCATGTGGGTGGCGCTAGATATGTTAGGTAGGCGCTGATTGGAGGAGACGTCCATCGTCAGTATATGAACTTTGACCTCTGTCAAAGGTAATCCTAGAGTGCTATATAAGTGGCTTTCTGGATTCAGATGTCTAGCCGATTATCCGAACAACATATCAGGTACTGATGTTCCAAGGTCCTGTTTCAGGATCATTCCCTCCCAGTTATAAAGCAGGATGGGTGTTTGGTTTTGAACTTACTCTAACCTTAGGTCTGTTTGGGGGAAAATTAGCATAGGAAACGAAACAGGATTTAGATTGTAGTTCTGGGTTATGTTTGGTTTAGAAAGCCTTCTTCAAGAGAAGTTTAAAGGATTCAAAATTGTACCAGAGAGGGCTGAAAAGATATGTGAGCGAGAGAATTGTGGTATTTACAAGTTGTTGAGTTTTTGTTTCTATTTCTGTACCACTTTTTGTAATAAACTATTGTTACTGTTCAGTTTGTCTGTTATTTCCTACTTTAGTCCGTTTAACTCAAAAGTGAATCGATGAATTACAATCTAACTCAAAAACTACTAAACATATAATGCTCAATGAAACACTGATCATAATCAATACATCAGACTAACTCTGATGGATGGAGCACAGCACAAGTAAATGATTCGATAACTTTGTTGGCACTTGTGCACGTGATCCCCGTAGACCTGGCTGTTCCCCCTCTTTACAGTCCTCCCTCATAACAAATAGTGAACTTTGTTCCTGTAGCTAACCAGTTTGAACAGAGATGGATATATCCCACGCCATTGGGGCCCTGGATGGCGAACACATTACTATCAAGAAGCCACCTCAAAGGGAACTCCTGAAGGCGCAGTAATTCTGATTTCCAGTACATATATGGGAGCAAGAACCCGTAACATATCGTAAGTGTCAGTGAAACAGCGTCAATACTCGTATCTACTCACATTTACTTGTATCAACTCAAATCTGCTCGTGAGTCATTTGTGTCAGGTTGTTAGCAATGGGACCCGACAGAGTGTCACAGATCGTGGATCTCAACAGATCTCAACAGAGTGCGGTGTTTGTCTTGTACATGATTGATTCTGACCACTACGATTTATAAGCAAGATTAGATGCATTTTATTGCGCTTTGTTATGATGCAATATTATCTGATACGATGATCATGATTGACAATTAAATGTGTTGATTTTGAACCGTCCCAAATTTTTCTACGATCAACATGATTGCCACGACTGACCTGAAGATCTGATGAGATTTGATAGGATCACCACGATTAGTCCACAATTAAGACCATGATTTCAATCGTGGCGTGAATCATGATAGTGTGAACATAGCATTTCGGGGTTCATCACAACAACTACTGTTTCCATTGCCAAGTCTGTGGAAAAGGGTATCAACATCTGTGGAATTTCGACAGTTCATGCTCTAAAATCCATTCATGGACAGTTACTTCAATGTAAACATCAACCCAATGGACAGTTGCAATATAACTCCATGTAAAATGTACTGTTTGATTTTTCGATGATAGCTGAAAAAATAATGACCCATTAAAGTCTAAACTGTGAATGAAGACCTAAAATAACTATATATAAGAATTGACAGCAAAAAAGGCTGTCATATTTCGAGTTGAAACGATCATTTTCCGCGATCTTGTTTCGACACTCAGGAAGGTGCCCTCGCTTAACGCGTACCGTAATTGCAATATATAGAGAGGGTGTCAGGCTAAAAGACTGTACATTTCTAGACCCGTCTGCTAAATGGCAAAACCTGATATATACTTGCAAAATAATGAAAATGCGAGGGAAACTTACCATTACTCTTGCGTCACATGTTCTTCTTTCACTGTCCAGTGTGGACAGCTCTTCCACTCTGTGATAACATTACCATTTACTCATTTTAGCCTCAACAGCCGATTTATGACAGCTGTGTACTACCAGGGAGACTATAATATAATATTATATTTTAAGGGGGAGTGGTCACTCCTCGGAAAGCCCCATAGCTATGCCTCGGTTCATCACGTGACCAGTGTAGCCAATATGTCGGCAGCGTAGTTTTTAAGGTTGAGCCCGGTTTATTTTCAACAGCTGATTACATACGCTGAGTGTTGTGACAACTGAAAACCTACATGTAGAAGATAAGTTACCTATTCTGTCACTTCATTTTAAGTCAAATAATTGTTATTAGTGTCAGTATTAGTACAGTAGATTTGTAGTAAAGTTTCAAGTCGGCATGTTGTAGCTCACTGGCTTCAATTCTCAGTACACAGCGAAAAAAGACTAAATTCTATCGCTAAAAACTTCTTTCACATATTTGTTTAATTTTTAGAAGGGAAATATACCTTTAGTTGAAAGGTGTTTGCAAGTAATAGTGATAGTTTTATAACTAAATTTTTTTTTGTTAGGGTGTATTTGAGGTGTGTGAAAAATATGACATATCGCCGATCTGCCATTGAAATACTACAGGGCGTTGTTTGAGTGTTTCTAGTTATTGTTCTAAAACATCTTTCACATGCACCTTTACATTTTTATGAGGGGAATAATCCATCAGGTGAAAGGTGTTTGCAAGTAATAGTGATAGTTTTATAATTTAATTTTTTTTGTTAGGGTGTATTTGAGGTGTGCGAACAATATGACATATCACCGATCTGTTCCGATACGCCATTGATGCTTGTGATGCTTGAGTGTTATAGTTCTAAAACTTCTTTCTTTCTTGTTGATCTTAGTATTTGACAAAACTGGAAAGGTGTTTACAACGCTTTGTGATAGTTCTAAACTTTCTGTTTTTGAGGGGTCTGTGACAGTGTCAGTTAACATTCTGTCAATGCCCATGTCATTCCACACATGAGATATCTGAATTAGTTACCGCCCTAGTTACCAATGTAAAAAAATGTCTCAAAGTAGATTTTTGTTAAAAAGGACAGCTGATGTTAACACATGTGTTCTGCCGATAGTTTTAGAGCACTCTAGCGTTCTTTAACATGTTTGGGGAGGGATGGCCGTGGTGTATCATTTATTCTTTCATTCATTCACATATGTTCTTTTTCTTTATTTCTTTCATTAATTCACATATAATTCTTGTTCTTAATTCATTCATTCATTCATTCATTGTAAAATTCCGACTGATACAATACACTGGCTGAAGTACTGTTAAACGCAGTCGAAGTTGCGCTGGGAACGAACCAAGTCACTGTGTGCGTTGGAGCATGACGAGGCACACGTTAATTAGTACAAATGGTAAAGAAAGCCAGCGAGTGACCTATCCCTGTTGTAGAGTATCCCTGGTACTACACAGCCCCTCCCCCACTGCGGGTCAGAAAATCGATAAACTAAGCCCTGGTTTACTATCCAGAAAATCGATAAACTAAGCCCTGGTTTACTATCCAGCCCCCCTACTATATAACATATAACATGTGGTGTACTACGACTAGTACGGACTCTACAGCGTCTTACCTGGGGTCATTCACTCTTTTTCACTTAGACATTGTAATCCAATGAGATACCTGGACTGTTGGCAGCCGTCTCGTTGGAAATGTAACCGACAGTAGATTCCTATCTATCTATTGTCACAGGTTAACACCTTCGTGAGTCTCCCTGTTTAGTTGTTGTTGGAAACAGGAAAAATCCTGAAGGGGTTAATTTAAGTTATGGATTGTTATATGAAACGAAATATACTGCTGCCGTGTATTTCGGCGACTGGCGTTGGTTTCAGTGTAAGATGCCAAGATGGGTTTAAAAGCTTATTAGAATTGCATTTCTGTCAGTGACAGCTGGTTGTGGGAGGAAAGTGTTGTGCTCATTTCAATGCTGACATCAGTTCTTGTACAAAGTATCGTTACTCTATTAATTTACATACAAAATGGTGAACTTGTATCCGAAAAGGTTACTTTGTTATTACAATTTATATTAGCCACCAGCAGAGACCATACAATATGATTATATTATCATATGCTCTCTGCCATCATTTATGCTATGGTGAGAATGCATGGTATGTTATAGAATCCTAGAATCCTCTCAGACGAATTGAGGTTATTACTTTTGACGAAAATAAGCTTAGCGTGCTTGTTAAATTAAGAACATATTTCCAAACCATCTTTTTTCTGTGTTCATATATCAACCGTGCATAAGACAAACGAACCCTTGAAATGACTTACCTTTTCTTTACCGATATTTGAATGCACATCACAGTTTGTCACTGTGACGGAGTTCGAGCCCTGGGTACATTCGACTAACCATAAGATTACGATTGTTAAATGTTGAATGTATGCCGTGATATAATGCGACAATGAGACAACGCAAAATGTGATATTTCTTCATGGGGGGTATCAGGATTGAGTGTTGTTTCACGCCACTCTCGACATTATTTCTTGTTTGTTTGGGGTTTTGTTTGTTTATTTGTTGTTGAACGCCGCACGTCAATATTCCAGCTATACGGCGGTGGTCTATAAATAATCGAGTCTGGACCAGACACTTCAGCCAACAACAGCATAAGCATCTACGCAAATGTGATACGATGACATGTGTCACTGCCAGATCACCTGATTCCCTTAAAGTCGCCTCTTACGACAAACATGGGTTCTAACCCGGATCTTCACGGGTCGGTGGCCTACAATGTACTAATATACAGCTCGATGTGAAAGGACAGCCCGAATTGGGATGCAGTTCTTAGAAACACACAAACAAGGGTGCGGTATTTACAAACCTAAAAGCATAATCAAGACGAACAGGAGATGACAAAACACGACCTTGGCTTTATGGCACACACTGGGAAGGCAACTCTGCGAATTGATCTATTTCAGAGTGGGCGAATTTGTATAACGCCACTTTTAACCCTGCACAGCTCAGCGTGTTGCGCTATTTCAGACGAATAGGGCAACATAATGCCATCGCCGTAAAAAAACACACCACCAACAACAAACGACACCGACTATAACGATGTATGACATGCTTTCTACAAGAATCGATGAGCTCCAAGCTTGTCCACTATAAGCCACTTCATGATATTGTACTGGGCTTCCAGCAGCATATGCGTTGCAAATATTCAGTCTCACTCACCAACACACAGGTTATTGGTTTCTTTCAAAACCCCAAATGGCTGGTCATTGATTTCTTTCATAACCCTAAACACTTATTGCAAGCTTGTGTGTACAGTTGTTTAAAGCATCAAATAATATTCACTGAAACTAAAGTCATTTCGCAAATCAATAACGTTTACGTTACATGGATGTCCTCAACGCACTACTGCATTATATTCATATGTAGTAGATGGTGTACTTTCAATCATTTGGAGCATAACAATTGAAGCCTAAAATGAAATAGAAAACAGCATACCTCTAACAAGAATGAAAAATAATTGATAGGATATGTTAGGTGATACGTGAAGTTCCTTTTCAATACTAATACCAGCAACACAATGATCACTCACTCAGACTAACTCATTATTAACTCATTTAGAATGAAATGTGATAGTTCCATTGTACAGAAAAAATAACAAGAATAACAAAATTTAACTTTAATGATATATCATGCTATGTACAGATAATGATATCTATTTACAAGGTTACATTTTGATTACCATGTAACATTATCAGTGACTGTAGTCAAATCTTTTTGGTTTTTCCAACAGAACACAAAAATGGAAACACTGGCATATATAGTCTAGTCAAAGTACGCTTCCACGAGACCAAGACATCATGAAACTACACCAGTGAGTGGTAACAGTCACTCAAGAATTTAGCCACATGACACACAAGTCCTGGAACCTTCCTGAGAAATGACTTATGACTTTTGACCTTCTGTTGTGACATCTGCGTGGACACCGTGGCTGGCAATGGGGATGTTTTCTTATCCATCTCTGTGACTGGAAATAAAATGATGTCGTGCGTGATACACGGTATTAACATATGGCAACGAGCAGCATACAAAACGTTAGAAGTTTCAAATTTAGGCGTTCGGAAATCAATGTGGTAGCAATCGTATGGTAACTTGTCGTCCTTAAAAGCTAACTTCTTATTCCAAAAGTCTGGATGCATTTGAATGTGCTACAATATTATTCTTGTCCAAGATATTTTTATGGATTAAACTTCTTTTTTAATTTCTCTCACGACGTTTCGAGACCATTCCAGGTCCTTCATCAGGTGAACTGAGTGAGTTCACCTGATGAAGGGACCTAATGGTCTCGAAACGTCGTGAGAGAAATTAAAAAAGAAGTTTAATCCATAAAAATATCTTGGACATCAATGTACAACTTCTAAATGCCACTGAAAGACATAATATTATTCTTGTTTTGTATTTTTTGTTATGATAATGATCATCATGTGAAGGGGAATATAGCTGCACGAACATGTCATGCGATGTCAAACAACTTCAGTACAAATAAAAAACACTATAAATTGGCTACTTACTGACAAAGGGTTTCTTGCTTGTTTCCTGTGGTGTCTGCCAGCTGGAAATCATCTCAGACTTAACAAGTTCATCACAGTTCTCCACGGCATCATAGAACTTGGCCACCTTGGCCATGTCTATCATCTGCTTCTGGGTGGTGGAGGAGTGGGATAAGATGGACGATGCCTTATTCCAGGGTGCCCGGATGGAAAGCTGATCGCAGTTGGTGGAGATGAATCTGTTGGGACACTCCTCCCATCTCTTCACCTTGTGTGTCTTCACGTCAACGACCGCCCATTTCCATTGGTAGTCACGATGGACGTCCAGTAGAGTATTTGCCTGAATAATGTGAAATAGCCAAACCGTAGAGATACTTTATACAGTCATATGGGTCACTTGATGTCCAACTATATAGCAGACTAGTCAGACTAGTGCTGAAATCAAATAGTGAGTGATTTTAAAGCAACGTTGAAAAGTATTTCAGTTACGTTACGACCTGTCAGTGTAGTGCAGAGGAAAAACACACGTTGCACAGGTTAGAAAGTGATTGGGTGAGTTAATAATATTAATTCATGTATATAGTGCCTAGTTGCATCTGACTAGTTGCTCACTGGACGCTGCTCACCCGGATAACCCAAGCTGCCTGTTAGGCGCTAGAAGGTTATAGTCATATACGCACAGGACCACACAGGACCACCACCAGTTGTATAACGCCGCATTGAACATTAAACCGTTTATGTCGCGGCATGTCAGTGTGACAGGTGTATGGTGATTTAGGTATAAGCACTTTGGACGAATCGTGAATTCGAACCCAAGACTAGCAAATCGATACAAGTAGGCGCCCATACTTGTAGCTGCTAATACTGAATCGCCAGGCATATGGAAGAATGGAAAAGCTAATGAATTTCAACACATATATCAACACGTATTTTGAGTTCGTTATATTGAATATACGTACCCGCCAGTGACCAGATTTCTCCGGATACTCGTGAGCCATCAGTGCTTTCTTGGACTTCCAGGATCCAAGACAAGGCTCGGAGCCTACAACAGCAAGGGCTTCTCCTGCCCCACAATAGTAGTGAGTTTCCAGCTTCAGGGCGCAGGTTTGGGAGACAAAATAGTTCGGGTCCCGACCCCAGGATGTATGCATCACCCCGTCGTGGTAGGACAGTCGGGTCCTGTAATTCAGATTCAGACTTTATTAGGTGGTAATTACAAAATACTCAATTATACTTCTGTAAACACTTTAAACACCAGTAAATTCGGACACCCCGAAACAAAAAAAAACAAACAACAAAAAATCCAAACCCAAGCATAGTTAGAAATGTGTGAGTTAGTTTACCTTCTGTCATATGCGGGATCCCAGTAGAAGACTTTCGTGTCATCAGCCACCAGCCACGACCATTCAAAGGACGAAGAAACCGGAAGTTCAGCAGTGACCTCCCACACATCAGTTTCAAACACGGAGGGTTTGGCAACCAGCTGTTTCTCGAGTTTCCACCGACCAAGTCCATGGATTGAGCCAAGGAGGGCAACGTTGACGGCATTTCTTCTACCCTTGTCGTCCTTCAGACTTATTTCTATGGAGTCTGGAAGATGGTACAGTTTGAACACGACTTTCACCACATCTTGAGACATGTTTCACCTACAGCTGAAAACTCTTTCAACCAAAATATACGACACGATTGAGAATCACTTGACGTAAGCGCTATGTGTACGCAAATGAGGGTTGCCTGGAAGTCATTATGACGTCATAGACAGAGTCACGTGATACATTTGCATGTTATTGCTATTATGACGTCATAAACGACATTACGTCTATCAGAGCTCTGTATAATGCTTACTTTAGACTGGTTCGCGTTTGTTCCTGCGACTTTGTTCTTTTCATTCACATCCGCTAACCTTTGATAAAGGAATAGTTTTGCCCTCCGTATACTGGAAAGCTTATACAAGACTACAAAGATGAGTCACCTAATATAAATACATAATAATTACTATAAAGTACCTTACCACGGCATTCAGCAACTGGAAATGGTTGCTTGAATAAAGATCAAAATAGAGCAAAAAGCAACGCTGACAGCGTTTTCACTGCTGTCGATCTTCACACATGTCTACCAAACGAACAAAAAAGCCTTAAACCTACTAATGGGCTTACGCGTACTCAGTAGCGTACCTGCCATTGGGCACTTTAGGCACGTGCCTACACTTAATTGTTTCGGCAATTTGTTTTACTTGTATGTTATGGATCTAAATGTTTATTTTTTTAATTATTTTTTTGATAAAAAAGTAAATCAGCTGGTACATAACATATTTCATGGCCAAATAGAATAATGAGCTATTTTGCTAGAATATTTGTTAGAATACTAAATTTATCAGTTCAATTTCAGTAACTTCCCTATGAAAATTTATTTTTAAAGGAAAGTTTGAAATAATCTTTTTTCAGGAAAATATAGCAGGAAATGCTTGTCTCTGGCAACAACCCCCATAGAGCCTCGCGCGCTACTCCTACACTTCATCTATTTCCTGGGTACGCCCCTGGTACCAAAGTACTTTTAAGAGAAGAAAGAAGTTGAATTTGTTTTGTTTTTAAGTTGAATTTGTCTTCTAAGGCATGGACCTGAATGAAGCTCACATGAGCATTTGGAAGAACCACTGAGGTGCACACTGACTGCCCGTCTTGACGTGCCGAGGATGCGATTCAGATTTGCAGAGATGGACCCTAGAGTAAATCAATTTTAGTCAGAACAGATGGGGTTATGCATGATGAAGAATGAATATTGTTTTAGGCCGTATGCATGATGAAGAAGGTCGGGGTAGGGATCTCTACCCCAGCCCATGGCAGGAAGGGGCGACCCAACTTAAGACCTTTCATTAGATTAAAGGACCCGAGTATAAGTATCATATTGATAATAATGACCTTGAACTGTTTGCACTGATCGCTATAGCTGAGCAGTATCTTTGGTTCCTAAATCCTAGATAACCATCGCTGCATCGGGCGCACTATTGGTTCGCCCACCTTTCTCATGTGTAGAGATAGCCTAGATCTTACAAAAATAGAGAAGTCTGTATTGCATTTAGGAAGGATTCAGTTGGGTCACAAGATGTTCTAACTCAGGATGTTTCAATGTTGATTATTTCATATCCTTGTTTAAAAAGAGACTTTCGGATAATCTTAAACAGTGTTGGTTCACTTCAATTCAAAATTCTAATAAATGTTTTTATTATTCCCAATTTAAGACATTTTTAAATGTGGAAAGATATTTATAAATTCTGATATTCCTTTACATCTCAGATCTGCACTCTCGAAATTTAGATGTGGTAAGTTTAATTTAGCAGTTGAAACTGGAAGATACAATAAACTTAAGTACAATGAGAGATTATGTTTATTTTGTAAATTGAATGACAAAAATGTTATTGAATATGAATTTCATGTTAAGATATATTCAGAAATATTTGACTGATTCTGATCCAAATGCCAATTTTATTAACATTATGAAAACACATAATGACTGTATCATAAAAGATGTAAGTATTTTTCTGCATCATGTACATCAGCCCATTAGAAAGTTCACTTGTTTGTAGGTACAGTACATGTGGTCAATGTATGATATTGATAGGTACAATTGTGCTGACATGCAAGAATACAAACGCAATCAATGATATTTATATAGAGAAAAGTCTGCAAATGCCATCAGATACACCATAACTTCATAGTGTGTGTGTGTGTGTGTGTGTGTGTGTGTGTGTGTGTGTGTGTACAGGGGGATATGCATTCAATTTGTATCTATATGAAATAAGGTTGACATAGACAAAATTATTCATCCCTCTCCTTATAGTGCTGGAAGAGTGTATGTAGAGATGACCAAAAGGAGAAAATCTGTCAACACCACAAGAGGAGGAATAAACATATCTTGTAATGTCATAATACTTAATTATCTCCCTTTTCACATGACTGCTAAAGGGTACAGTTGAATTTCTGCTGTGTCTAAAGATAACTTGCTTCACAACAAGTGTTGTGGCATTATTGGATTATTATTTTTTCCTTTAATTCCAAGTAAAAACATTCTGTTTTGTGAAATATAACGGAATATTCAAGACAGTTAAGAGCCATTTCCAGATATCTTGAACAATTTCACAGTCCCAAAATAGATGGGCAATTGATTCAATGTTATATTTACAGAAACTGCAAATGGGAGAGTCTATAAACTTGATCTTAAACAAAAACTATTTTGTAGGTAGAATATTATGGATAATTCTGTTTTGTAACCAACTTAGATCAGTGCTAAAAGTGCACTTCCATGGGATAATATTAAATATTTCCCAGTCCTTTGGTAGGAGATTTAGATTCAAGCTATCCCAGTTTTTATTATAGTGTTCTGTTTTAAATTTAGAGCATAGGAGTGTTTCATAGAAATATTTGCTACCTTTTTCAATGAACTTTAATTTAGACAAATTAAAAGGGTATGTCGGTTTAATGCTCAAAGTTGTAAAATGTGAAATATTTATCTTTAACATGTATGTAATAATTGCTTGTTTGACCCCTTCAAAGGTCAGGAAATTTGTTCTGAGTTTATATAGATCTATAAAGTCATCAAAGGATAGAGCTTTCCCTCCTGCTGTCAGATACAAACATAACTCCCTTGTTATACCAATGTTTATACAGAATAGGTTTGTTATCAACCAATATGTCATCATTACACCAGACAGACTGTGATTGGATTTCAAATTCACTTGTAATAGTATCTTTTTGTTTTTTTTCCACCACGAGAAATAGGAAGATATTTATTGTGCATTTGCCATAACTGAAGTTGTGGAAATGATGATGGAAACTGTCAGTTCCAACAGTATTATAGCTTGTAAGTTTATGTAAGACATTGAATAACTCACTACTAATGAATTGAGTGAATAAACTCACTCACTAACCCGCTGGTTCACATGTCAACCCGCTTGTACAAATGTCATATTCCGTTGCCTCAGTGGACACATTTTACATTTGGTAGAAAACCAGTGTCTTAATCCCTTAAAACCGTTTCCACAACATCAAATATCAAAGGATTTTTACCTCGACCCAAAGGTCGAACTTTCGGGACTACCCCGGACGGGAGTGTGGGGAAAACCCTTAGTAAAGGTGTGCTGGTCAATTATTGCCATGTTATCAAAACACTACCCAATGATCAAAGGGTTTTGAAATAACATCTGAAAGTATTAATTAAGTAAATTGCGAGAGTATTGAAACAGCTCAAAGTTTTACAGAAGAAAACATCTCAAAGTACAGGACAAAAAAACATCTCAATATTAAATAAGTAACAATCTCAAAGTATCAATTAAGAAAGCCTTTCAAGAACAATACTCATTAATAGGAGAGAAAAATCAAGTATGGCCATTTTGACTTTTTCTTTGGCTATTTTGACTTTTTGGTATGGCCATTTTGACTAGGGGTTGTGGCCATTTTGACGTTTTTGTGTGGCCATTTTGACTAAGGTCAGTGTGGCCATTTTGTCGTGTGGCCATTTTGACCTGTTCCCCCTTTAATCCACCATGTTTAGGGAGAGATGTAACAATGTCCCTTTTAACTTTGTCTGGTTTTCCTTTCGAAATAAATCTGAAACATAGCTTTTGAAGCTTTTCTAAGACATGATCTTGAGGATTTGGGAGTGAAGCAAATAGGTGATTTAATTTTGGAAGCAGGAGTGATTTCAAAACTGTGTTTCTTCCAAAGGGATTGCTGACCAGGTATTCATTTCTTTCGTAATTTGAGACAATTTATCAGAATAATTTTTTTCAACCATACTTTCTAAATCTATGTCAAAATGAATACCTAAAAGTATAAATTCAGTATGAGACCAGTCAAAATTTCAGTCTTTGCATAATTTTAGTCTTGATCTCTTTTTTTGATCCTATCCAAATTAGCTTTGTTTTTTCAATATTAATTTTTAGCCCTGAGAATCTTACAAAGAATTGTAATGTATTTAAAGCAGCATTAAGACATCTTTCAGAACCACCCAGTGTCATCGTCGTATCATCAGCAAATTGTGACATAATGTATTCAATATTACCATTTCTGGTGTCCCCCGCCGTGATGTTGCTGGAATATTGCTAAAGGCGGCCTAAAACCAAACTCAGTCAGTCAATATTATCAATTTTTATTCCTCTTATATACGTATTATTTTTTATCATTAAGGCCAAAATTTCTACACAAACCAAAAATATATAAGGCGATAGAGGATCCCCTTGACGACAGCCCCGGGTTATTTTAAAGAAGGGTGATGCAAAGCCATTAACCAATACACTGGATTCAATATCATGATAGAAAAGGTTTACCCATTGAATCAAATCTGGTCCAAAGTGATAGAAATTGAGAACATTGAGAATATATTTCAAGTCAACGGAGTCAAAAGCTTTCTCAAAGTCAATCAGTAGGAGTAGTCCAGGGATTTGATATTTTTCGGTATGTTCCATCGGGTCATAAATTAGTCTAGTTACTTCTCCTATGTATCTTCCAATGATAAAGCACAAAACTATCTATACCATATGCAAATGACTGTATGATGGACCTGTGGCCTTTTACTGAATAAACTTGTTTGTCTGTCTGTCTGTCGAACTGTATACGGGACGTCGATCTGCTTTGAAAGTTTCAGGTTCTGCGTAAATTGCAATCAGTATTTGTAACTAAAAAAGCCAGTACAACACACATGAACATAAACATGTTTATGTTCACCCGCCCGCTGAAAATCTTAATTAACGTTTCAACTGTCATAAAATATCGAGTATTATCGGACTGTCGCTCCGTAAAGATTGTTTCGTGGATAAATCTAACGGTGAACAAGACCTTAATCCATGACGGCACTTACTTCAAAAGATTCATTTCCAATTTATATGTTTGTATGTTGCGAAACAGAAACTATGAGCTCAGGTCACCAATCAGTTGAAGTTAAACAACGTTGGGCGCGGAGAGTTCTTGGATGGGTGACCTTGTTTGGCAGCTTGACTCCTGAAAGTTTGTAGGACTTCAGTTCTGCTCCTGATACATGTGGTCTCATCTTAGGTTTGTTCAAAATTGCCTCTGGTCACCCAGCAGAAAATGGGTACCCGGCGGTATACGACTATTAACCTTCTACAGCCTCACAGCCTGGGTTATCCGGGGTAATAATAATCTGATTGTGCGCTTTGAGCGGGATATGAAGCCTGGAAAGGCGCGTTATAGATATTCAGCATATCTCTGATGTCAAAATTGGGGATCTGTGAAATGGGACGAGAGAGTTTGTGATTTAGGGTCGTTTTAAAGATTACACGAGTTATATATCAGGATGTCTGGTTAGTAAGGGAGGGAATTTACCATGAGCTTGAATGAAGAATTGGCAATCGAAGAATCATAAAGATGGGGAAAATTGGGATTCAAACCAACGATCATAGGAAAGCAACACTGAACACAGAAATGCAAAGCCTGCAAGCCTATCAGTGAAAAAGCAGCTATACATACAACCCATCATATCTCCTAATAATCTGTCAACAGAAACTTGCCGTAAATGTTATTTTATTCTTTCTTCATTTCTTTGCTGAAGACCAATTCTACTCGTGTCCTTGTATTAAAATTTAAATGCATAAAGTATCGCATAGCGATGCCAGCGGCAAAGTTAAATTCATACATCATAGGAACTGTTACATTCCAGCCAAAACGTCCTTCAAGCTCCTCTCATTTCACAATTACACAACCACCTCCTTGGTCTATAGATGATTAGGGGCGTCGTACCATCGTACCCTACCAGATTTCTTTGTTTTGGCATGAAAGGGATGATAACGGAACGGCAGGCTCGATCAGCTTAAAGTGTCTGATCCATGTTGCACTGCACGGTATGCATGTTATTTGCTTAGCACTCGAAAAGCGGCTGGCGGAACTTCAGACACATCCAAGCTGCCACAGTTACATGCACTCACGCAGGCACGTGTACTGTAATGACTATACAACTGCAATATGTACGCATATATCTCATGCTGTTTATCCTGTTATTCACTACAGGAGAAAGAACGAAAAGCATTATTAATATTTTTGTGCGACTGTGCGTGTGAGCGCGTGCAAGTACATGACAAATGGTAGCCTTTATGAGTAAATGATTACTTTGAGACTCAATACTTTCTGTCCCTGCTTCATTACACATAATACAATACTCATGCTTTCTTTGAGAAGCCGAAAGATAATCACATAAATCTTAAACACATTATACATTGCGTTTTGGGTAATTGACCAAACATGTTGATATGTGCAAAATCCCTTTCGAGGCAGCATAACATTGCTGTATACGGCCACGCAAGGCCAGATGTTTCTCCCCTCTCCACCATAGAACGTGTCAGGCATGAGATGAGTCGACACCTACGGTAGGACCAGAACCAGCCGGTAATGCTGCCTCTGTCGGGCCAATCCTTGGTTGACATGTTATGTGTGGAACATCCCACATGTGTTGAGTGTACCTATCATGGGGGGGTGAGTGGTTTAGTTTTACGCCGCTTCTAGCAGTATTCCATCGGGGGACAAGAGACATGGGCTACCTATGTGGGGAATCGAACCAGGGTCTTTGGTGTGACGAGGAAACGCTTCAACCACTAGGCTACCCCACAAACCCGTACCTGCCATGGTAGAGACCTTGTCACCGTGTACGAGGCCACACGGCGTGGGTCGTTGCTTAAATGATAAATCATTGGTTGATTAGCGTTAAATAATGAACAAATAACTCTTTCAAAATTGCCTCTCAAGTATACTGATAAAGAAAAGAAATCCCTTTCTCTAGAATTTTAGAAGACTGAAAGAAGTTAAACGCATGTTAACATGAATACTACGTTACAGATCAGATTACAGATACCCGATACATGTTTGCTGTGAATATTGACAAACGAATCCGATTTAATAAAATCTTGCCTATATGGTACTCCACATTGGCTCGCCAGTTTAATACTTTGGATCAAGAGACTCACAATCCAAACAAGAGTAGGCCTACTTGTCAAACTTGTCTATTCTGCCATCGGTGACTTGTATATATATGATGACCCAATCCAGCAGCATAACAGAACAGTCAAGGACATACGCTATTTACATCCAAACGATGTACACAACTATATATATTTTTGTCTCAACGCATATTTGCAGTGAGGCGGTCTAAATCGAGACAAAATATTTCGACCACAACACAATTGAGCGAGGTTCGTGTATGTATAAAGTTCCGTGTACGGTCAAGGCTAAAAACCTCGTTCTAGCTTGAAAACAGCCTGTTTCCTTCCTGCTAGCTTACCGGATTCTCCTTCCTAGCTGTGAATCAGTTGCACTTACAGGATCTGTTTATAATTAGTCAACGCTATCTGAACACTAAGCTGGTTCATCAGCAGATATCGTATGCTTACAAACCCTACAGGTTACAAGTGCTTGCATAGTGCCACCCATATTTTGTTTCTTAAAATTGTGCGATTTGGTATATCACAAATATTTGACGATGCTTCGACGACCTACGTGTGCGCGCGCATCCTCGGTGGAACCGATGCTCTAAAACCAGACAATCGATAACATTTTGGTAAATGCACGATTGAACTCATGTGGATAAGTGTCAGGCGTATGTCATGAGAAGAATGGGTCGACAGTTTATCAGTAGATCAGTATGTATGTAACTGACTACCCGTCAGTTGTATCTACCGCCATGTTTAGCAATGTTTATACTGTAGCTTGTGTGTGGTGATTGCGAAACCGGCGTCCAATGTTAATCATGGTTCTATATTTAAAAATTACTCGGTTTCTAAATAGTCTGGACCCCAAGTCAGCCTCATCGATAAGTGGCTGATTCTGCCCGTATTGGGACATATCTCTCATTCGACTAGTCCGGAAACCTGCACTTTGGCCTACGACGCGAGGTAGGCTATATTACATGTATCGCACTTGAACAGCCATCTGTAGGACACTGGCCACAAGCGGACGACGCGAGGTAAGCTATATTACATGTATCGCACTTGAACAGCCATCTGTAGGACACTGGCCACAAGCGGACGACGCGAGGTAAGCTATATTACGTGTATCGCAGGCTGTAGCGGTGACAGTATTGGCTACTGTGGGCCGCACTACTGTCGAGGCCATAACTATCTTTGTATAATACCATTAGTGGGGAACACTTGATAGTAAGCTGTGACAGTGATGATGATTGCGATGATTACGTTAAGGATGCTCTTAATGGTTGATTCTAGTGTTTGGTCTAATTGAGGTGAATGTGGAATTCAATTTTCGATCCTGGCACATAGATGATGCCCTCAGTGTTTGAGCCTTCAGTGACGGATGCTGTAAGTGTTTGATCCTTTACAGTGAATGATTCTCACATTGATCCTGTTGAGGTGAAAGATGGTTCTCCACAAGGAAGACAGCATCCAGCTGAAGACAGCCCTGGGTACAAGCGAGATACAGCTGCTGATAGGGGACATCACACAGCTGCAACAAAATGAGGCAGTGGACATCGTGATGGTCTCTGCTGCTCAAGGTAATCCAAAATTTAGATGTTTAAACATGTAGCAGATTCACACCATGGGAGCCGTCCCTTTACGTCGAAGACCAATAATTTAAAATTTGGTATCAACTCCTAGGGGAGGATACAACCCAGGCTTCCCTGGAATGTTTGCTGTCCCTTTTCTTTCATACTAAATACCCAGTCACTCCTGGGTTAAAGGATGGAAAGTTTGATCCAGCCACTTGCCAATGACAACACTCCATGTAACCTGTTTCAGATTGAGATGGGTGAGAGAATGAATGTGTAGTGTTTCATGTTTCATTCCAACAATATTATACTTGAAAATGGCTGAACACATGTGTGGAATTTGGACTTTTACTTTGTTTGACATACCTCACAGGGAGCTATTTATCTGGTGAATTCTCGGTATCAACACATCAGACACTTATGGGTGCGTTGAGTCGGAATCTAAAGATCAGTGTTCAAGAACTGTCAAAGGACAAGGAACTTGACCTCAGGACTAACTTCCATTGTTGGGTGTCCAAACCACTGCCCCACAATGTCCCCTACAGGCGACTGGTGTGTTTTGAGAGGTACACATTTATTGCTTATTTCAAACAAATTTAGGCAATTCACAGAGGATTGAAGGTTGAGTTGGGGTGTTTACTGACAAATAATATTGAGTAGATCAAAGCAAAGATAAATGACAACATGAATGTGTTTGTGTCATTAGGTAAGGCAATGTTTGGGTAGATAAGCCCAGCAGAAAACACATTCTCCAGTAAATTGGCGATTTTTATTTAAAATATATATAGTAATATTAATTTTGTCATAGGAGAGTTTTCGTGATTCAATGTTTTCAGTGACAATACGCTATGCATGTGATAGTTACTAAGTGGTTTTGGTAATTTTATAATGTTTGTAGATTTTTATTAATATTTTTGTATTTAAATCCTTCAAAGTAAAACAAAGTAAACCAATGCTTTGGTTGAAAACTCTGATGAGTTCAAAATGATGAAATCCATCTCATTTTTGACACTATTTCCAGAGTGCATGGCTCTGGCAATGGAACGACGGCCCAGCAGATCAGCACCATGTTCCGTGCCATGACGCCCATCTTTAACAATGAAGACACAACCGTCATCACCTCCCTCCTAGCCACAGGGAGCCAGGTCAGAGTTAATATTATGTGAGAACATTACTCCCAATATTTTGGTTGATAGTGCAGACTGAAGGGAGCCAGGTCAGAGTTAATATTATGTGAGAACATTACTCCCAAGATTTTGGTTGATAGTGCAGACTGAAGGGAGCCAGGTCAGAGTTAATATTATGTGAGAACATTACTCCCAAGATTTTGGTTGATAGTGCAGACTGAAGGGAGCCAGGTCAGAGTTAATATTATGTGAGATTACTCCCAATATTTTGGTTGATATTACTCCCCAAGATTTTGGTTGATAGTGCAGACTGAAGGGAGCCAGGTCAGAGTTAATATTATGTGAGAACATTACTCCCAAGATTTTGGTTGATAGTGCAGACTGAAGTCATGACATGTAGGATTGACCCTCCTTTATCACCTGAACTGGTGGCTCAGTGAGAAAACAATTAAGTACAATACAAAACATGATATGGAAGGTTTTAGTTTCGATTCACATGATGTAATTTTCATTTGAAAACATTTATGACATTAACCCTGTCAAAAATCAACATTAGATGCTATTAAAAGGTTGTTTATACATTTCAACTGTAAATAAATACATTAGAAATAAAACAAGTCATTCGTATAGCGCCCTTGCCAAGAAAGATTGCTCAAGGGTACTGATCATCCATACTGGTTTCACTTGAATATCTTGCCGTTATATTGCTGGAATAATGCTAAAAGCGGCGTTAAACCAAATTCACTCACTCACTTGAAAGTAGTAAGTCTCACAAGGTTACCATGAGACAGTGGTATACTTCTAGTTTTGTAGGCAGTACCGGTAATTCAAAAAGTGCCAAGGCTAGCTTTCACTGATGACAATTGACTCAATGTATTTTAGGGCCAGTCACGAGTGTCTGTACTGCGTGCAATGGTAGATGGAGCTTGTCACTGGATCAAGGCCGGATTGCCTCTTCGCTGTCTGAAGATTGTTCTCTATGCTTCTAATCCATACAATCTCAGCAAGAAGGACAGTGAAGCTGTGAAACTGTTCAAGGATCTTAAGCAGGTCTGGGGGTCCTCTAACCTAACACAGGTGAGTTCAGGGCAGGAGGCCCACAATGTGTGAGGCCCATTTTTGGTGGCTCCTGTCTCAAATTGTTTTTTAGCTTTACATATTTTATTTCCTCCTTCCCTGTTATATATGGAATAGCTCACACCCAGGGTAATGTGAGTTTCACAGCATGAAGTACCTGTAATAGTATGTTTCATGGGTGTTTAAAGGATGTACAGAGGAAGAAGTTTTTTTCCATTAGGACAAACACTCATTCATATACTTACCAGGGGTGGAAATAACTTTAAAATTGACAATGTACTTCGGTACAGTGGCACATGTAAAGTCACTTGCCCTGATAATTTTTCCACTATACTGACCGTTTTCTTGCCCATTTTTTTATAATAAACAACATAATTAACATTGGAAAGTCAACTGGACACCGGTACAGTGTGATATACTGATTTGCTTGCCCGACAGAAAAAAACACTGGACTCGGACGTCGGGCAATGGGTTATTTCCACCCGTGCTTACACACCTACATTCACACACAACTCGATATAAATCTGCTGGCCTCGGATCACATGTTAAATATAGAATCAATGATCTTGCTTATTGCTGCTCCAGTGATGCACAAAGTACTACACTACATCCAAACCTGGTAGAACATATGTTGATCACTGTTTCCAAAAGCTATGTCCTTTTCTATTTTGTATCTAATGTTCATTTCCTTTACAAATCTAATAAAAATAAGTTTTGAATTTTGAAATTGATTCTTGTCTGTTATTATGTTTTCTTGAACTCCAAATAGTATACGTCCTGCACTTAGCTTCATATTGCATACATGACCACACTGGTCTATCCATTTCAAACATTTATCCCAAAAGTTTTTAGTAACATCACATTCCCAAAATTAATGGATGATAGTTTCCTTTTGTCTCTGACAAAAAGAACAAAGATCAGGCTGAACATATTTTAGTTTTAATATAAAGGAATTTGTTGTAAGTATATTGTGCACAAGTCTATACCGAAAACACTTCCTGAGTTACACTAAACACCTTAGCACAAATATCATAAACAGGCAAGCTGTCCAAATTTTAGTTCCCACTTTTCCTGACCTTTTGTATTCATTTCTGATGCTACAAGTGTTAATAAAACATGTTTAGAACCTGAATGCACATTGCAAAGCTTTTGTATAGTACAATGATGTTCTTCAACACAGTCTGATGTACTTTTGGTTAACATAAGAGTTGCAAGATACTGATTAATGCTGTTTATTACAGCATAAATTCCAGGAATGATGAACGAATATGATATATTTCTCTGAATTCTTCATAAGTCAAAAACTCTTTATTTTCATCAACTAAATCTATGATCTGTGTTATACCCTTTTGGTACCAATGTTTCAAAAAGTGACGCCTTATAAACTTTAATGTTGGGATTATGAAAAATAGGCTCAGTCAGAAAGCTACTAAACAGTTCAGGCTTGATTTTCTAATCAAAGTCGATAAGTGACTGAAAACAATTTTTCCAAAATGCATTGTTGATCGTGGGCAAGTTAGTTCTCAAAATAGGTGGCACCAAATTCATGTAAATTACACATGTGAGGATATGCAGACTTATCTGTTGTCACAAACTTCCTTAGCCAAATAGTTTTAAGAGATTTGACATGTAAGCATATATTAACCATTCCCAGTCCTCTTTGTTTCACTGGCTGACACACCTTGAGTCGCTTTACTTATCTCTTTTGCCACACCATAAAAATTTAAACAGCATATTATTAAGTGATGCAAGAAAGTCAGAAGAGGGTGAGGCAGTGATAGTAACAAATTATTGAATTTAGACACGAGTAGTGACTTAATAATTGCAACTCTTTCAATTAGGGTAACAATCCTTTTCATCCATCTATTGATAATGTTTTTGTTCAAATAATAATGTGTCTTTAAAATTCAGTTGAGTCATATCCTCCAAGTTGGTACCAAATTTTATCCCCAAAATTCTATAGACAATTCAGTATCGTCAGCATACTGACTCAATAAATACTCAAGATTATCTACTTGGATACCTCTTATGTCTTTGTTGAAGCGTATCATATTAGCTAGCACCTCTGCACACAAGATGCATCAGGGGTGGAAATAACTTTAAAGGTCACATGCAACCAAAAAATCAAAGATAATTAAAACACAATTATCACTTCTTCATGACATATAATATGCATTGCTGATTATGAAAAAACAAATAAACAAAATTATAAGGGTATAATCGCTAATCAAAAGTGCAATATTTTGTACTTGGGTTTACCTCCCTCGAAACGAAGCAGCCGGGATACCGAACCCAGTCAGAGCGGGTGGGTGTGCACTCAAGTGTAACGGCTGGTTCATTAGCAGATGCCGCCTTCACGGGTCATTGTGTGTGTATATATAGAAAGTTGGGTTTTGTAAATACATGCTCATTTTTTGTGTATAACATTTTGCAATCAACAGACATCATAACATGTCATGTGTTCAAGTATCACACCTGCCTGTCTGTGTAATTACATAATGTGACAGAGACCGAACTCGGGCCATAAATCAATGCGCTTTTGTTTATGGTGTATAGCCTGATTGGTGTTAAGTTCAAATTGCATGTGGTCAGTGATCGCAGTTGTGTATTGAATATTGTCATTAGCAGACAGGCAGGCAGACACACTGGTGTCAATAAAACAAGACATTGAGTTTTGTCTGTGACAGCCACATATCTATATCACAGTTAGAAATCGTGTTAACTCTAAATAATGCTTTTAAGTATCGAACTGAGAAAGTGACTCGTAAGAAGAACGCAGTGGTGAAATAGACAAATGAAATTATATAAACAGTTTATTTACTGTCATAACATACAAAAAGCTCGCTTCGTGAGATATCAACAAAACATTATGAAACTAGCTCACACCAAAGCCTTCACAGAGTATTCACCAGACAGCCCGCCTCCAAGTGCTTAACCTATTTCACTGCGCACGCGCTATGAGCGCAGCCAGCTGTTGAAACCTCGTATTCCCCAGAAAAGTCTGGGGAAAATTAGTGAAACGCTTGAACTCCGATTTCGCTACGCTTTTTTTCATCGCTATTTTTCAACTTTATAAGTTGAATTTGCATTTTGACGCTTTGTTTCGTAAGTCCATACCGAAAGGTATCAGAATCTGCAAAGTTGTGTTTTTGCGCTGGTACATGTGACACTTGCCCTGATAATTTTTCCACTGTACCAGCTGTTTTCTTGTTGATTTTTTAAATAAACAACATAATTAATATTGGAAAGTCAACTGGACACCGATACAGTGTGATATACAAATTTGCTTGCCCGACAGAAAAAAACACTGGACTCGGATGTCGGGCAATGGGTTATTTCCACCCCTGTGAATTTAAGGTGATAAGGGGTCTCCTTGTCGGCAACCGTGCTGAACAGTAAACCATGGTATGACATTTAACCATTAATAGACATGCAACATTTTAAATTTGTATAGACAGAAATAAATTCTCTAATGTTTTCTCCAAGTCCCCCCAAAGTAAGACACTTGTCTATAAACGACCAGGCAACAGAGTCAAACACCTTCTCAAAGTCAATGAGCAGCAGCATATTTCTTGCTCGAAACTCTAAGCCCAAACTTTCTCCGGGAATTTTCTAAACAAAAAAACCAACCTGTTAACTTTTTCACCATTCATAATCCATCTAATTCTAGATCTAATTGCAACACCAGCCATTTTTTGTTTTCTGATTTCCTCTAGTTCTTTTCTTTTATCATCTAAGTCTTCAAAGTTAATATTTGTAGAGTTTTCAAGACCTTCGATCTGATGAATCAAGTTATTTTATCTCTCAAGAAGTTTTTTTCTTCTTAAAGCTTGAGTATGAAACAGTTTTCCGTCATATTTCTAGAAGTAATACTTAAGAAAATAGCTGATCATTTATGACAAATTCGAGCTCAGTGTTTGAGATTTTTTCAATTTCAGTAGAATCATCGTTCTTCTTTACATATTGGGATTTAACCTTTGATATAGTTTATTTTTTTCAAATCTACATGTACCTTATGTTTTAAGAGAGATTTATTAAATTTCCGATATGTATTGTGTCTTATACAATCTTTAAATGAAATAGTGATATCAACAATCGATGATCAGTTCTGTAACCTGCAGTGATGTCAGCCTTAGTAACAAGATTATATAGAGACTCGGAGATTAAAAAATAGTCTAATCTAGCTTGTTTTAGGGGTGATATTCTACGCCAGGTAAACCTTTTCCTTTCAGGGTTAAAATCTCTCCACACATCCACCAAGTTGAGATCACCAATTCATTCTAAGACCTTTTCTCTGGCTTGCGGATTGTTAATATTCTGATACTGTAGAACAATGTGCCAGTCTGCTGCTAGAATATATTCACCATTTGCAAATTTGCAAATTTGCAAACTTCTTCCTTCACTCTTTCGTAGAAGTCTGGTGAGTCAGAATTAGGACCATGTATGTCCCTGCCTCGAATTTGATGGAATGTGGAGTAAGCAGAGTTATATCCAACCTTCTCTCTCAATCAGGACTTCAGGACGTTCTTTTTAACTTTAGTTATATTTTCTCACCATCAGTTTCATTATGTATATCACATCAGTCTTACACAATTTACCACCATCAGATTGATCCAGTATCTTGCCTTCAGTTTTTTCCAATAATTCCCCAGTAATTCTTATGCAACATTTCACCATCAGAAGCTCCCAATTTCTCATCCTGTATTTCAAAATTGGGTCAATTGCAATATTTCACCATCAGAAGCTCCCAATTTCTCATCCTGTATTTCAAAATTGGGTCAATTGCAATATTTCACCATCAGAAGCTCCCAATTTCTCATCCTGTATTTCAAAATTGGGTCAATTGCAATATTTCACCATCAGAAGCTCCCAATTTCTCATCCTGTATTTCAAAATTGGGTCAATTGCAATATTTCACCTTCAGGTAAACTCATGTCTCTGCATTAGTTTCATTCATTATCTCACAATCAGTTCCATATTTGCAGCCAGAAGAGGATCAAAGCATTGATGTGTTCATATCCCACAGTAGCCATGACAACCATTGGGCTGACACAGTTGCTACTCAGTTGACAGAGATCCACCCTGGCCTGAAGGTGTACAAGCAACAGCTCCAGTTCTCAGCCAATGAGGTGTGGCAGGAGAATGTCTTCCATGTGATGATGCAGTCGGTCAGGTGAGGATTCTTCACAATCTCACAGCCACTTGCAGTTCTCCCTGTATCAGGCCTACCAAAGAAAACTTTCCCATTGTGCAGAAAAATGCAGATAAGCCCAGATTAATCGTGGAAATAGCAACATAAACACATTACCTCGCTACTGAAACAGTGAAAACGGCAACAAAAAAACTATGAAACTGCAAAATTTTTATATCAGCGAACCTTGACCTCTACTGTGCATGCACATAACGATCCGGGCTTCTTTCCAATTTCCGAGCAACCATGAATCGCCTCTCGTAGAAAAAGTATTAAATATGTCGAAATAATTGCTGTCAATCGTTTCATACGAATGGAAAGTAAACTAAACAAGTGTGCACACAAGTATCATGATGATAAATGCCAAATAACACAACAGGAATACTTAAAAAGGAATGTAACTTTTGTCCAAGTTGGAAAATGTCAACATGATGTCGAGACTTCCTCTTCCATGTGCGCATGCACAAAATCGAAGTTGCGGGCTCCTCGTTTTATGATGCAGTGTTAGCGATTTAAAGTTGTCGTTTTTACTGTTTCAGTAGCGAGGTATTATGTTTATGTTGCTATTTCCACGATTAATGTGGGCTTTTCTGCGTTTTTCTGCACAGCGGGAAAGTTTTCTTTGGTAGGCCTGTGTATCAATGTAGCCCAATATACTGATACATGTCTGTAATTTATTGCAAAACAATGTTGTAATTGTATTGCACTATTTCTGTACAGATTCTGATGTTTAAGACATTTTCTTTTGTAAATATTTAGTCATGATTGAGTATATACAATGTGACATAAAAAAGTTGTGTGGAGTGTACTATATTTGGATGTTTTTTGAGTCAAATGTAATCTGTGTTCTTCGAGAACAACATAGACTAAAACTTTTTTCTTTTTTTTATATTTTATTTAGACTAAAACTTTGTTGGTTCTCACTGAATTCCTTTGTATGTAGGTGTTTGGGGTAACATTTGTTCATTTTGGAAACTGATGTGACCTAATGGGGTAAGTGTACTTCCTTTGTACAATTGTGAAATAGGGGCCCAGTTGACCTAGTGTGGTAGGTGTAATTGCTGTCACCATTTGTAAAATGTACCAAGATGGCCTGGTGCTATAAGTGTACCTAGTTCAGGAATGTATTTGGAGTTTGAGGTTTTCCTCAAAGCCTGCAACACGTAGGTAAATATTTCCAAAACTGATTTACAAATTTTCAACTTCATTATACAGAGTAATAACTTAAGTAATGGGTTTGTACAGGTGACTTGTATTTAATTGTCTGATTTATTATTATTATTATTATTATTTATTATTTCATTAACTGATTTAAAGAATATATACGGTAGATATTTTTCCCAAACTCCGTGCTGAGGGTACTTAACACAGAATCCTGGATAAATCCCTACAGTTGTAGAACAAGGGCTCAGGGCCCAGTGTTGATAGTGTTGTGAAGTTGCGGGGGATATAGAAACGAAGTTCCATCCGTCTGTCTGTCTGTCTGTGTGTGCGTCCGTCACACTTTGTCCGAAGGATATCTCCAAAACTATTCATGATAGCTTAACCAAACTTGGTACACTCGTCAACCATGATCCCTAAATGTACCTTTTGGTGGTTCGACCCAGATATGAATTTTATTTTTTGCCATTTCCATGGAAACGTGACTGTGGCTGTGGCTATGAGGATGTCATCTTGTCCAGATGAGAATGTCATCTTGTCTGGAGCAGATCTCCTAAACTATACATGCTAGCTTCATTAAACTTGGTACACATATCAAGCATGAGCCATAGATGTGCCTTTGGGGGTTTAGACCCAGATATGAATTTTATTTTTTGCTGTTTCCTTGGAAACGTGACTTAGGCTGTGACTATGAGGATGTCATCTTGTTGCAGTTCCATGGCAACAAGTTAGGCGTCAGCTGAATTTGGTGGTAGTGCTCCTTTCTAGAGCAGATCTTAAAAACCTTTCAATACTCTCCTTCTACTTCCATTATACGCTCCAAAACATTTGACATGATCATAACTAGTAGACATATTCATATAGAGTATTTTGCCATTGCGGGGGATATTGATGACTTTGTGTTCTTGTTATATTCCATTGTTTCTGTTCCAGAATCGTCACCATCTTGACCCCTGCGTATGTGGAGAGTCAGGAATGTCTGGAACAGTTCAACATCGCTCTGTGTGTGGATCGTCTGTCTGCACACCACCAGATCTATCCAATGTATGTGGAGACTGTTGCTTGTTTGCCTACCTACATGCAGCTGGTGCAGTACGTTGAGTGCAGGTCCGTTGAAAATTGGTTTATGATGCCTGATGTCACCAATAAGAATTTGATTAATCCTTAATTTTTCCTTGACACACTTAATGACTTTAAGTAATCACATAAAAAATTGATTTACATTCATTTACAGACTGTGATAATCCATCAGTTAGCGTTAAACATGTTAAAGTAATTTAATAATTTCTGTGATTTCTGGTGTTCCCAGCAATGATATTGCTGGAATATTGCTAGAAACAGTGTAAAACCGCATTGACTCACTCTGAGAATTTATTTACTACTGCAGGGAGCATGCAGAAGGGGAGGTAACTCAGACACTGATCAAGAAAGCTTGTGTGAAAATATTGAATTCTTTGCCTGAGGCTTGTGTGGCTGGGTTGGAAGACTGCTCTGTACGAGCACAGTCTACTAGAAACATGTATGATGTGTTCATATCATACTCCCATAGTTACCCTGCCACTGCTAACAATCTGCTGCAGTGTCTACAAGAACTAGACCCCACACTTACGGTCTTCCTTGACACAAGTGAACTTGAGACTGGTAAGACCTTCCTTGAGTACTCTGTCTCACACAAATTTAAATATGTTTTGTTTGAAAGACAACCCTTCATCAACATTTCCAAATTCAAATGCAACATTTCAGCGTAATTTACATCGCAAACTATGATTTCACTGGTATGAAAGGCACCCAGCAGCCTATGCTGGTAGTAAGAGAAAATATATGGATTGGTTTGTCAGGCTTGGGGACTTGATTGGTGATTATAACAGAATCCCAAAGGTCTTGGATTGTTTGGTCTTGTTTAGTTTGTCAGTTCCTAATTGTATTATTTATAGGTGGGCATCATATGGTGAGTGAATGAGTTGAGTTTTACGCTGCACTCAGCAATATTCCAGCTATATGGTGGCGGCATCATATGGCTGTGAACCCCATGAAGATGGAATTAGTATGGTCTTCAACAACTCATGCTTGTCGTAAGAGGTGACTGGGTTGTCGTGCCAGGTATGCAGATTGATGCTGATGATGTGAATCACTGGATTTTCTGGTCCCGACTTCATTATGTACACATGTGCATCATGTAGGTGAAACATTGCAGAGTACAGCATAAAGAACAAACAGAGAAAGATAACTTTATATTGCAGGCAGTTCCTGGCAACAGAGTTTGTATGACGCCATGGACAGATCACACTGTGTGGTGATGTTGCTGTCCCCGGACTACGTCAGATCTGATGTGTGTCGGGAGGAATACAACATTGGCCTGGCTAGAGTACTGGCTGGGGTAAGACATCACTGATATCAGTATTCATATGATTAACTGGTAAAGCCTGTGGGGATGCAGCCTATCCACCTGCTTTTCAATGAGGACAAATATTGTCGATTTAATTTAGAGAAATAACATTTGCACTCTACTCTAACTGGTCACCATCTGAAATGTGATTGAAAATTACTTTCTTAAATTTGTTTGTACAGAGTTTGGGACATTGTTCCATGCTTTTGAACTAAGTACATACTGCATAAAATGGGGACAAATCTTCTCAAAAGTTTACATAAACTTACATGATTGAAAGTTAGCCATTTCATCAAAGAGATACTTATGTCGGCCAAGTTCAAAACTGCACCCAATCATTTTTTTCCCAATGTAATATCCCTTGTCCGAAGTTGATACATGTATTTTGAGTTTTTTCATACACAGTTATGACCCTTGATCAGTGATATTGTACTGTGTGCAAAGTGTCAGCAATGGGACAGCATTTATCAGAAACTACGGAAAGTACATGAATTAAACTTTGCAGGCATACCTAAGAGATACCTAGTTAAAACCCTGACACCCTTAATGAGCCACAAGGCAGAGGGATAGTGATATGTTGAGTTACGTTTTGTTTTTCATTTCTTCATGTACCACATTTTTCAACCCGCTTAAACTTTTGTCTCTGATATACAACTGATAATAGAAGCTGTTTATGTGTGTATCATATTACAATCAAGCATCCCTTTTTTGTTATTTATATGCTTGTCTGTTCATCCTTCAAGGAAGATATCTCCATGATCCCTGTGTGTGTAGAACCCATGGAGACTGTGCCCCATGCCTTCAGTCATATCACAATACTTGATGGGTGTGCAGCCAATAGGAAAGATGCACTCAGCATGCTGAACAGGATCTCTGAAGATGTCATCAAGTTTGTCAAACATGGGAAGAGAGGACCAAACATTGGAAAAGTATTAATCAAATTATTACTAATTATTAACAAACATGTTGTAATATCTAGAAGTTAATAATATTGTTTTATTTTTGTCTTCTATTATCATCCATATGATTTTCCAGACCACTAATGGTGAGAAATATATTGTTTTGTCTTCTTGTTTAATTAGTTCAATGATAGATCAGTAATGCCATATTCATTGTAATGAGATCCCAGGGCCTCCTTTCTCACAGCACTAAGGTGATCATAAGTCACTAAGGTAACCTTAGTGAAATGTTAAAGAATGAGAGGTAAGATTAACCTTAATAAAGGTTGCTTCGTGAAAGGAGCAACTGGCCAGTCAAAAAAATGTGACAAAGTGAGGTGAAACTTGTCAGAGTTATTACATGCAGTTTCTAGGTAGTTGCACACCTTTTTCCACTATGTGTACATAATGCGCAAACTATAGATTCTCTTGTTTATTGGGGACTGATAAAGATGACAAGAGATTGATTTAGATGTTGTGAGCACTTATTGGATTAGGGCACTTTCATACAGAGAATTAAGTATCTATAGCACTGAATTTGGTTAAAAAACGTCTTAGCATCTTAATAAACTATTACATCGATTTCACACATATATACTGACATTATTCATGTACAACTTCAAATGATTTCTAATGGACAATAACGTATGATAGCCAATACAGTAATTATTTTTGTCCATGTCTTTCCAGAAACATTGAGGATGTAGTATAGGTGAAAGATAGTTTGCATGTTTAAACTTGTTAGGAGTATCTCCATGATCACCAACATTAAAGATATTACTTGTCTTCATTTCAGCCAACTCTCTCCGTTACACCGAGGGAAGCTCAAGAATACTGTCGGAAACAGGAATTTGATGAACTGTACAAATTAGAGGGCAAAGACATAGTATATAAAGACTTAAACCAACAATCAATTTACAGTCAGCAGGTTTTGAGCAGGGGGGGTCAGCGTGTTGTATTCAGCTTCTCTCATGATTCTTTCCGTCTTGCTATAATTCTGTCCGAATTAATAAAGCAGGCATCACCAGGCACAAACTGCTGCTTCATGAGTGAGTATAACAAAGATAGACTTCATTTGTTGGACCAGTCCCAACTTGTGGTCATCATAGTGTCTGATGGTTATGTTAAGTCAGCTCAGCTCCTTGAGGAACTTCATCTAAGTCTGTGTCGACAGCGGAGAGAAAAGCCCACGAGGATGATGTACCTGATTGAAGGGTCACACCTCAGTGCCCGACCCCACTATCTCCATCTCCTGGACTACAAAGTCAGCATCAATGACAAACTGTGGAGTTCACTGACCCCTCCAAGGAAGAAATCTTTCAAGGATGCTGCTCCTGTCAATGAGTGTTTCACCACAACAAGAGGTGGAATGGGAGGAGAATACAGGTGCTCTTTGGCAGAACGACTGGCACTCAGCAAGGCAGCACTGGAAATACTTGATATTGTCAATAATAGGTGAGTGTGTAATAACAGTTTTGCAGGGGCATCAACAATTGGCTTTGTGCTTTGTTTAGTATTTTTTAATTGAAACAATAGATTTGAAATAAGGACCTTTCTACCAACAGTTAACCTGTTTTTATTTACTTGAAAGAAATTTAGGATTGATCTTTCTAAACAAGACAAGTATCTAACCCAGGCCTAACCTATTTAGGAGCGTGTTGAATGTTGGCAAATCTGAATTGCCTGCTTTTCTTAGATGTTTCCAGTGATGCCAACTTCACACTGTATACATGTTACAGACCTTATATCTCACTGATGAATTGTACATAAACCTGTATGCAAGAGCACAGATATCACTGTGTTCGTAGACAGTCTTTGCAAAATCAAATAGAATACACATGTTTCTCATTCTCCAGATCGGTGTCCAAAAGCTGCATGAACATCATCAACACAGCCAGCTTCATCACAGAGGTCAGGGACAGTGAGGTGCCATTCAGACAGGTGTGCCAGATGAGAGAAAATTTATTCCAGAATTTATTAACTGTACATTTAGAAGACATTAAAATGAGGATAATCAGATAGGCCCTCTTAATGCCCCATCTCTTTTCAGATTGGAAAATGGGGTGTTGAGCACACTTTGGTGTGGAGTTTAGCACACCATAAGAATCAATATTATTATTTTTAATGCTTCATAACAAGTATACTAGCCTTTTCCTTAAGATTATTTGATGGTTGCTCTCATTTACATTTAACTCAAGAAATAGTTAAGTGTGGTCTTTCAAACATTGGATTGCAAATACATTTCAGTACAATGTATATATTTGTGTTGGTAAGTGAGTGGTTTAATGCCTCTTTAAACAGTAGTTCAGTTATCACAGAGTATCATTTTGATGTTGTTAAAAAAGAACAAATAGCCTGTATGATTTCATGAATACTTTCTTTTGAAGTTTTCTCTGACATAAATAGAAGCTGACAAGGAGCTAACTTGCAAACACAAATAGCTACAAGTGTTTCCAAATGACATGTGGTTTCATGTGCTGATTGAGATGCCATTGGACAAGTACACAGCCACAGTGACCTTACAAAAATATGTGGGAGGAAAGCCTTTGGTGATGGGGGTTTAAATGAACTTGGTTTTGTACTTTTACTTGTTAGGAGAAGCAAGATAGCTTGCTGTTCAATTGCAGAAAGAAGTCATGACCATTTGAACATAAATATGTGATGATACATTTAGCTTTGTATTGTTAAATATTGTCAACACTACCTTTATGTAATCTTTGGTCTGTCAGTACGTGTATGAAAAAATGACCCCCAACGACATTGTTTCTTTCAGTGTTCAAAGCCAATACAGATGGATAACCTTGACCTTTGAATTGACAACATACCACAAGGGGGGTAACTACAGATCAAGAATGAAATGAAGATAAACCCAAGTCACAGATATGGTCAACAACTACAAACATTTTGCTGAAAAATATTTTTACAGAACACACTATCAAGAATACTCACAATACATGTTTGAAAATATCACAGTTAAGCCATAGTTTATACATTTGTACTTATCTATGAAGGGAAGTTTTCACAATATCCTATATTTGTCACTTGAACTGTTTGGTGCTGAATTTTTATATATTTATATCTAATTTCTGATAATTTTAGCCCTTTTACTAATCTTTGAAAGGTTGGGGACGGGGAGTTTTTGTCTTTTTTATTATACTCAGAATAGTATTACCAATATACCATGGCATGAGAACATATTGGGTGTGGGGGATCCCAACAAGGTGATTTCCCTTGAGTATGTGTTTGTTGCTCACTGACCAAGGACATCACAGTATGTATAGGAGGTTAGCACAATTTACTGCTGTGGTGAGTAAATAGAAAGATCATATTCCAGTAGTTTTGTTTGAAGACTGACTTTGTCAGCTTACTACTTAAGCAGGTGATACGCACTAAAAAGGTTAAAATGACAAGGTAGAATAAAGACCCATTGTCTTACCAAAAAACTGAAACTGAAAATTGATCCATGTAGGGGCTCCGATGCTGTCTCACACTTTGTTCACTGGACCAGCAAATGAGTAGAGAGTGTTAAAGGGTCACTTACTGTATATAAATGTAAATGTGTTCCAGGTCCATGATTGGCTGCTCCATAGTGATGACCTTTAGGTCAGATTATGACAAATTGCATGATTGTGATATATTGATAGGTTTGTCATGCTTTGGTTGAACTTGCCAAAACTTGAAGTTTTTAGAGAGTTCATAAATGTTCTTAGGTCATATTTAGTTTTCATCCATCTTCACCTTGATAATCCACAGGTATGAAAGGAAACATTTGTGGAAGGTCACACTATATATGGGTAGTAAGTAGTTGGTTGGATGATGTCACAAAGGATTGTTTGTTGCATTATGGATTTATGCACAACTGTGATCATGTGAATGGACAATATGTCGATTCAATGTTAAAAAGGCACAATTTACAGCTGTGTCAGAAACAGACCACTGCACTCATGCCTGTCTATACCATTAATCTTGCAACTCATTTCCAAATGTATCTAACTTGCTTTTGCTGGTTAGATATGCTTTGAACTTGTAAGAACGTAACAACTTGTAAGATAATGGTATCTTACAGATATTTGTCTAGTATTCTAAAGAAGGGTATATTATGTATTTTGTAGGCCGGTTGATTGTGCTCTATGAATGTACATATTTTATGTAAACATAGAGCTGTGATAATGATTAAACCTGATTCCTTATTGAGTTATCTTTAAATTTTTTAAGCAGAATTGTTTTGTCAATTTGTTTAACACTGTACTCCACAGTAATCCTGCTTTGATGATGACCAGTAAAGTATTCATTGGAATCACAATTCATATTTAATACGTGTATTTATACTTGGTAAAATTGACTTGTGTGTTTTTTTTTTCGCAACTGAATTTACTTGGTATAATTTCAATGCATCTTCAAGTATCAAGTATATCAGCTTTCTGTATTTTGATCAATATCCTGGACACATTGCTAAAAACAACCTTCCAATCATTTAACTGTTAAAAATAATGCCTAAACATCACTTGTACTCAACTTGTTTAAAAGCCATCTCAAATATTACTGGTAACTTCCCGCAGCAGACACATCCTTACTTCATCCTAATACTTCAGGAAAACAAGCTTACCAGCTAAACTGACCCCCAGAGAAGTTTATGGATTTGATTATGTATATATGCTGTGAACCAAGATGCCCCAAGTTTGAATGTAGGTTTTAAATGTTTTATTGTTGATTTTAAGCTAATGAGTAAGGGACATCAGATCTGAAACTAAGCTTTGGTTGCTGCACAGGTTGGGGTCAAAATATTGAAAGTGATTTGAACCCATGAAAGTGCAGAATTGAAACCCAAATCACTGCAATACAGTACTGTCAGAATAATATTTGTGTTAAAGTGTGGTGTAAGAGGCAATCAACTGGAAATGCTGCATGAGTTATTTTACATGAACTTAATGTATGTGAGACCAGGTTATGTCAAACCAGGAGCGGTCCTCCACAAATATGCAAGCCATCACATATACATACATACACATACATACTAACATTTGTATAGCGCCGATATCCAGCTCAGCTGCTCAAAGGCGCGCTTTGTCTTAGCATGGACTAATGACTGACCCATGGGGTAACTGGCCTTCAGTTTCTGGTCTTCCATGTAAAGAAATGAATCCACAATATATCGTAACTGTATGACACAGTTACTGTGGTTCATCATCACTGTTTTACATATTCGCCATCCTCAAATACCACAATTGTTGTCGATAAGTATAAGTTGTCGATAAGTATAAGAATGACATGATACATAGGTTTCATGAAGCAAACAATTTTTATTACAATGATCTTGGAAAGTGAGATAAATACAATGTCATTTATTTGTAGAACTCATGCTCTGTCTCGTCCTTCTTGATGTTATTTTTGTAGCCCTTCTCGAAGTCCTTGGCCAAAACAACGTAACGGTTCTCTCGCACTGCCTGCATACCAGCCTGGAGTGGAAGAACCAAAATCACTAATACCAAACATACACCACTGTCACTGTGGCTAGCTTGATGTGACAAAATAATCTTTGTGCTGATGCCACAGTAGTTCACATACCTTTGCATAGACTTAACCTCCATTAGGTACACAGGACTGATTTTCATCTTAGGATGCACATAATTCAAATACATCATTACATTTCAAAACATCTGTGAATTTAACATGGTTAATGTTGAACAGCTCAGACAAAAATATAACAAACTGTTATGTCTTCGAAGTGAAATTAGATTAAATTCAACAGTAAGGATGCTAAGCTTGACGATGAATGTTCACAATGCTCTTTCTACAGTCAGCTTAAGAGAGGATAAATTTCTTTACTTTCAGGGCACATAGAAATTTTAGACAATAAGAACAAAACAACAAATAAACAGTGTTGACTCTGCGATATGAAATTAAGTGAATAAATGGATGCTATATATCATGATGACCTGTGGTTGATAACATGAGTAATGTTCATTACTAAGACACACAGGTTACACACTGCGATCCCTTTCATGGAAAACTGTTGCTTTTATTAATGCTATTACAACTAGGGAACAATGAGTTTAGTTTTATGCCGCACTCAGCAATATTCCAGCTATATGGCGGCTGGGAACATTTAAATAGCTGCAGTCAATAATATATTGCCTTGGTAGTTGTCACATACCTCCTGGCATATTGCGTTGATATCTGCTCCACTGATCTTGTCAGGGCGAGCAACATAGTCCTCTAGGTCGACCTCCTCACTCAGGTTCATTTTGCTTGTGATTGTGGAGAACACAAGACGTTTCTGTCTCCTGTCGGGCAGTGGGAACTCGATCTTCCTGTCCAGACGGCCAGGACGAAGGAGAGCAGGGTCAAGAGTATCTGCTCTATTTGTTGCCATGATAACCTGCAACACATTTGCATAAAAATAGGTTTACAACAAATTCCTAATTGAGAAGAGAGGAGGTATCTACATATATATGCCAATAATGCAGACAAAGAGAAGATGATGATTTTATGGAGAAGCATGCACCCCCTAAAATTTATGTACAAAGTAAGTGACCCCCACCTGCATGTCATGTACAAAGTCACCCCCTCCTGTTTTCCATATTTTTTAAAGCATAATTTTAAAATATTTTTATGTACAAAATTGCTGACACTCTCCCCTAGAAACGTGTACAAAATTGATGACCCCCTACCTCCCCAGAACAAAAATATCATCACCCCCAGCCATAAATCATGAACGGTCCCTTATTCAGTATTTTTCAATAGATGTTCACATTGCCCTCAAAAATGGCTCCTGCATGTGAAAATTACAACAAACGTACCTTGACATTAACAGTCTGGTCAAAACCATCCATCTGATTCAACAACTCTAGCAAGATTCTCTGGACCTCTCTGTCAGCTGAAAGACAAATGATACACACATGTAGTAACCACAGCATGTGAAGCCTAGGCAATAATACCAAACCAAGAAATGATTGTAGCATATTCCTACTCATGTTGAATGCACCCACCTCCTGTTTGAGCATCAAATCGTTTAGTGGCTATGGCATCAATTTCATCTATAAATATGATAGCTGGGGCATTTTCTTTGGCTAGCCTAAACACATCTCGCACCATCCTTGGTCCCTCTCCAAGATACTTCTGTACAAACTCTGATCCCACCACTCGTATAAATGCAGCTGAAACATAAGTAATTATTATTATTAGTCTTCCATATATACAGAGTACACAGCATAATATTTCAAAATTCAAAATCAGCATGATTATCTCCCTTTAAGATGTTAACCCATGACCTTATCATGCTTTTAATACACAGTTGGACGAAGAGAAGAACCAAATGTCAAGCTCTCTGTTGTCATTGAAATACACTGTATTGGTCAATTTCCATTTCAAACTGCTTTGGAGAAACAGCTGTCAAATTTTCCATTTCGTTCTGAGGTGATCATAATATTAGATCCTGGATTAACCAATCAGCATCAAGTCAAGATAAACTCTTCTGTAGGTTTTACGGTAAAAACGCTAAAAGGTTGAAAGCTAACTTCTGTCACAAATGTTCAAACTCTTCTTACTTATAACCTGTTCAAACCCATGTTGGACTGCATGGGTCAAGTGGATATGAACTCTTTTTCAGAGGATATTTCTGGTAGAAGTTAAAAAGGATTTCAGACTGTTATGACTTCAGCACTGGAAGCAAGGGTTGTTTGGATAACACATCAAATACAAAACAAAATTTAAGCTGATAATTCACACAAAAGAAGGTACATAACAATGCTGAATATGTAGAAGTAAAACGAAGAAGTTACTTTTCTCCAGAAAGACTCCTATTTGATGTAAGATGCAGTAATGAGATAACTGTCAACCAACCTGTTGTGTGATGTGCCACTGCCTTGGCTAACATAGTTTTTCCACAGCCTGGGGGGCCGAACATGAGCACCCCTCTAGGTGGGTCTATACCGATCTGCTTGTAGAGCTCGAAGTGGGTGAGTGGTAGCTCCACAGCTTCTCTCACCTCCTGCTTCTGGACATCCATGCCTCCGATATCACCATACTTCACATCAGGCTTCTCATCTATAGGTACATTGCAAAATGAATTATGGACAAATGGATATGACCTTGACATGACTTCTGTTTTTCTGTATACTTTGAAAAAACGAGGAATTAAAATGTTTGCTGCTTACTGTAAACGTACTTATTTTCGCGTGGTGCAATTTTCTCAGAATTGACAGTTTAGACTACATCGCGCGGTCAATTATTCGCGCAATCAGTAATTGCCGGAACTGCCAGCTGTCTCTTTGGCCGCCACTAATAGCAGTGAAAACAAACAGAGTGGCTTAACCTGTCAGGCGGCGTGTATTGCGTACTCACAGGAAATCCCTATCTGTGCGATATACTAGTACACAGTAATCCGTTTACTCACGGAAGAGATGAAAAACACATCAGTCTTATGTTCCGAATTCTGACGATCTGACGAAATAACTTCTACTGTATATGAAGCTCTTTGTGATTTCAAGCAAGCCGGGTTGTTGTGAATGAGATGATTGAGTGTTAAGTGACTATTCGCTTCGTGATGTACTGGTAAATAAAATCTTAATGAATAAATAAAATACTGCTGTATTATTTCTTTCCGAGTCGTTTCATGGTAATCTGTTTTGTATCAAACCATCTGTCATGTGACCAATTTCCATGGCGGCCACAACACACATTGCTGTTTTCGCTAATTCGGCAATGGGATTTGGCTCATTATTTAATTATGTTTTGGGAAATCCATTACAGCGACAGTTAAGTGTGATTCTTTATGCTACTATCAGTCGTCATTTTAAGATTCCCGTAGATTTCTGTCTTCAAACTTGATGTGTTATGGCAGGGATACTCTACAACTCTTATAGAGTCTCCCTGGTTATGACAGGGCTGAATGAATGACAGGTTTATTCGATGTATAAATTTTTCTTAAAATGTTTTGCGAAAAATAAACCTCTTGCGAAATATAATACGTTTACAGTATTCAAGTGAAACATAAAAATGTAATTTTCTGACTAAAATTTATATCTTATACTTATCCTGACTCATGCTAAATGCTTGTCTCCTTCTTCTTGCGAATGATAGTGGCACACTTGAAGTCCCTTGAAGTTCCCTTCTAAAAAGCGGACGTAAAATCATCACTCACCCAGTCTCCCTTGCCTCCTTTGGCGCCCCTTTTGTATCACATGACCAGCCAT